TTTTAGTCCCTTTGCCCTAGGGTGAGGTTAGACTCCCAGGGTTGGCAGGGGCACCTGAGCTTGGGTAGAAACATCCCTCTGGACATGGGGGCCTTGCCAATGATGAGGAACATTCTTGTCACAACGCAGCTGGGGGCTTGGGTGCTGGTTGCTCTGAGAGTAGCTCCCAGGGGTCAAGGCCATTGGCATCGCCGCCTTGTTCACGAGGGGGCGGAGGACTGGATGGTGAAGCCTGCTGCAGCTCACCCTAAAGGATGTCCTTGGCCCGGACATACCTAGGATGTCCCCATCTGTGTGTCTGTGACCAGCTGGAGTTGAAGGAACTAGGACGTGGGTCCAGCCCTTGGCAGCGCTCTCTTGGCTTCCTCCCTAGGTCTGTGTTGTATGCCAGAGGCCAGCCTGACCCACTCTGCACCTGGCCCCGAGTTGCAACACAGAGGCACCTGACCCAGACCCAGAGCAGGGGACTCCCTTCCCTTCCCATCATGGCTGAGGGCTGTCTTGTAATGTGCCAAGGTGCTGGGGGTGAAAACGCTGTGCAGAGCCTCCGGGCGGCCAAGTTACTGCCTTTATTTATGTCTCTCTGTGGAGTGGCTTGAGGCTTCCCAGTAGCAAAACACTTCAGAATCAATTGGAAGCAGTCGGGGTCTTGACCACAGGAATCCTGGAAGCTGGAGACTCGAGAACCTACACTTGGCTGTGTGGAGACGCCTCTGAGAGGGCAGGAAGGCGTCTGGGAGCTGCAGGAGAGGCTGTGGGGCCTGAACAGGTGGTGTGAGCTGCAGACCGTGTTGTGGCCACGGTAGCTTGTGGGCACGGTGGGTGTACCAACCAAAGCAGGCTAAGAATCCATCGCGTGTAGCAGTGGACTGGGCTTCCTGGGTAGCTTCCCACCTGTCTTCTGCTCACTGACTTCAGAAACGCTAAGATGCATGGGCTCGCAGAAGAGAACCTGTCAAGGACTCAAACCCAGGCTTGGGAGCCGGGCAGTGTGAGCTCTTAACTGCTTAATTTTTGTGAAGACAGAGTTCACTGTGTAACTGTGGCCGGCCTGGAACTTGCTATGTAGACCTGGCTGGCCTCAGATGCACACACAGGGATCCATCTGCCTGCCTCTACCTCCCAAGTGCTGAGATCAAAGGCATGCACTGCTACACACAGCCTTGTACTCTTAAACTTTAGGGCGCCCCTGGAGGAGTCCTTGCACCTTCCACCATACACACAACCATACCACTGATAGTCTATAATAGCTTGAATGGCTCCCGCCACCAGGCCCGTGAAACTGGCAGAACAGAAACCTCCTGGGGCTGGATCACACCGATGAGAACCCTTGTTGGAAAGGCATCCGGGAACTGCAGAAGCTGAGCATTGGGGACCCCTTTGTCTGTTATGGTCCTGGCTGGCACAGCCTGGTATAGAAACTTGAGGCCATTTGACCCGAATGGCAAGCTTGCCTTCTTGTCCTCTCCTAGGCCATGAGCCAGTGGGCAAGCCCTTAGTCATCCAGTGACCACCTAGGAGATGTGAAATGCTCCGGCCAGAAGTAATCTCCAAAGGGATTGAAGGACAAGAGAATGAAGTAGCTACAGAGATGATATGGGCAGCTATGTGATGGAGTTCCCGTAAGTCTGGAAATAATCGGTTCTGGGGCTTCTGGATTGGTAGCCACATCAGGGTACAAGGAGAGCCTAGGAGTCAGGTGCCTCTCACCTGAGCCACAAACTTTGTAACCAACCAGCCCAGCATTTTCTGGAGCTCTGGAGTCATTCACTTGTCAAAGCTGAGTAGTTGTTCTAGGATTCTAAGATGGCCAGTCTGGTCCCAGGACAATATGATTGACAGTCTGGTCCTAGAACCCTATGATGGCCAGTCTGGTCCTAGGACCCTATGATGGCCAGTCTGGTCCTAGAACCCTATGATGGACAGTCTGGTCCTAGAACCCTATGATGGACAGTCTGGTCCTAGGACCCTATGATGGCCAGTCTGGTCCTAGGACCCTATGATGGCCAGTCTGGTCCTAGGACCCTATGATGGACAGTCTGGTCCTAGGACCCTATGATGGACAGTCTGGTCCTAGGACCTTATGATGGACAGTCTGGTCAGACACACGGATGATAACTGTGGATTTGCACTCGTGGCTGATGTGAGAGTTTCTCTTGTGGAGGGACAGGAACCTGGAACTTTGGGGTCTATGGTGACTCCAAAGAGTTAGTTTCGTAACTGAGGTAGACTACTGGATGCTCAGCTGGTGTCTTTTTTTGTTTGTTTGGTTTTTCGAGACAGGGTTTCCTGTGTATTGTTTTGGAGGCTGTCCTGGAACTCGCTCTGAAGACCAGGCTGGCCTCGAACTCACAGAGATCCTCCTGCCTCTGCCTCCCAAGTGCTGGGATTAAAGGTGTGTGCAACCAATGCCCGGCTTCAGCTGGTGTCTTAAGAGATGGAGAACTGGCCACTTAGGGGACCTGCCTGCCTTCAATGTGTTAGAACGCTGTCTGAATGGCAACGCCACTGCTTGGTGTGCCCACCGCAAGTCTCCCTTTCAGGAATGCTTGACAGCGAATAAGCCCCGAAAATCTGGGCAGCAGAGAACATGGCTCCAGGAACCAGCAGACTCAGGCTGGAGGGGGCTGGCACCCAGGGTTAGCTCCTGAATGCTGGTGCAGCTTTAGCTTATGTGTCTGAGCAGAGCAGGTGGACTGCGTGAACAAGCGTGTCTGCTTTGGGATGTACACATGGAAGAAGCAAATGGGGGCCACTAACCACTGAGTCACAGCCAGGGCTGGCCCACCCTTCCACGAGAGGGTTTACACTGTGTGAAAGGGGGGGCCTGTGTGGCTGGCTTAACCCACACGCACGGAGCCCCTGGAGCGACAAGAACTATGGAGCCAGGAAGTAGAATGGGAGCTGCTGGGGGCGGGGGAACGGGCGTGAGAAGCAAGGCTTCCCTTCCGGAAGGTGGTGATACTCCAGAGATGAACGGAGGTGGTGGCCACCGCACGACAGTGGAATGGGGCTTCGCTCTCACTGACTGTGAGCTTTAAAAGATGGCTAAGGCGGGCTAGAGAGACGGCTCAGAGGTTAAGAGCACTGTAGGTTCCTCCAGAGGTCCTGAGTTCAATTCCCAGCAACCACACAGTGGCTCACAACCATCTGTAATGAGACCTGATGACCTCTCCTGGTGTGCAGACATATTAAAATAAAATATTTGAAAAAATGGCTAAGGCACCCAATGCAGAGCTTAAATTATAAATTAAGAAGAGAGACTAAAAAAAAAAATTAGCCACAGGCCAGCCGGGGCTACCTAGTAAGGGGCTGTCTCAAAAGAACAGGGGACAGGGGTGCTGGTGTGCAGTGATCCCACACTGCGGCCTCTTTGAGAATCCTCTTCCCTCCTGTTCCCTACCAGCCGCCACACAGGAGCCTGCAGAGCCCTGTGTTGTGAGCGTCTTGGTGGGATGAAAACAGACCACCTTCTAGCACTGTTGAGTTTGGCTCCTGGACTATCAGAACAATGGTCTCCAAGAGGTTGGAATTTCCCTAGGTATCTGTGCCCGGGGGATGGAAAAGGCTAGAGCCTGGTGCCAGCCCGAAGGAGATCTTGAGACTTGGGAATCGACTCTACACAGTTCTGACAAACTCGTCCGGACAGCTCTGTAATAGAGACTGGAGCAGAGAGAGACAAAGATGGGTCAGGGATGGGCTGGGCCACACCTGCCCCATGACTGCTGAGCATGGCTATGACCTTCTATTTAAACCTAAACCTCATGTCAGGACCCCAAAGATGGGCTTGAGGGGGGGAGCGCCTGGAGAGTGGATGGACCTGTTTGCTCCTCTTCCCGACGTGGCCCACGGTGAAGAGACGTCTCTGCTTTCCCCGTTACTTGGCTCATTCGTTGGCCCATTGAGGATGGGAGGTGAAGCTGAACTTGTTAGGGCTGCCGGAGCCCGGGCGGTGCCTGAATTCCTCAAAGGAGGGAACAGCTAACACAGTAGCATTTACCGACTGCTCCCGTCCACCGGCAGCACTCTAAGAGCGTGGTGTGTTTGTCTGAGGACACAGAGCAGGCCAGCAGGGTGGGCCCCGGCCTGAGAGAGACGTTTGAGCTCAAAGCTGGCACACAACGAGAAGCAGGAGCCCAGGCCTGCTGCACACATGCCCCCAGTCCCACATTTCCTCAGGAAAGCACACCTGTGACTAAATGTACTCGTTCATCAGGATTCATCCGCGAGGTCAAGTCTTTTTATTACCCTGGGCAGTTCTTGCATCTAGAAGGATCCCCTGGCCTGACACGTTACTTACTCGCTAGGTGGCCCCGGCCTCATCTGTGAGTCCAGGAGCTCCACACCAGTCATTCCAGCTCACCCAGTTTTCTAAAGACAGCACTGAAAAGTCCTGCTGACTATGAAGAAGCAGAGGTCTTGTGGATGGTAAGGAGCCCAGGAGCCCCTGGGCCAGGGCTGGATTGGCACCCCCCCTTTCAGTTTCCTCCCGTCTCCTTCCCAGTTCCAGCACCCTGTCACTCCCCAGCTGGTGTCTGCACAGACTGAGACTGTGGGCAGGAGCATGTACCAAGGCTGCTGTTGCCCGTGTCCCCGTCTTGCGGTCCGTGATATGTGACAGGAGGCAGTACAAGTGCCAGATAAGAGCCTTTGTGGGGGACAGTGAGGGAGGAGGGGAGGACACCCACACAGCGGCCTCTCGAGGTGGGCGCAGCTGAGGGCGGGTGAGCTGCTAAACGCTTCAGAAGCAGCAGATCAATTCTGCAAAGCAATTTGTCCTCTCCCTGGCTGGCCCAAGGAGGCTTAACTTAATCACTCTGGAACAATATCAGAAGATGGCCGGGATGCACAAATCCCCGCTTCCCGAAAGGAAACGATTGACTGGACAGGAGAGTCCCCAGGGCAGAGTCCAGACAACTTCATTAAGTCCCCAAGTGTCCCCCCACGCCTGCTCCCCGCACCTTTACCTCCATCCCCGCCCCCCCCCCCGGAACCTGAGCTCTCATAGGGTTCTTCCTCACTCACTGGGAAAAAACAGAAGCAAGCAGAGTAGGGGCTCTGGACTGTCATCCAGGAAGGGTGTCCGGCTGCACAGAGACAAGCCCACCTTACATCCTCTGAACAGGCAGTCAGAGTCACAAGAAGTAGACCGCCATGGCCCTACGGACACCAGCATTTTCCTGTGGGTGTCTTCTAGCCTGGTTCCGTCGCCCCGTGCCTACCCACGGCCACACCAGGGTGACGGTGATCATGGGCTGGGCCGCCAGACAGTTTCATTCACACTGTCCTTGGAGTCACTTTGTCCGGTTCACAGGGTGGCGGGGTGCGCCGAACTCAGAGGACACACAGCCAGAAGCGTGGGGACGACGGGGCTGTGGCTCTGTCTTCAGAGCCGGAGGGTCACAGAGGGCACAGTCTCCAGAGGGAAAATGCCATCCCTGCCACCTGGCCTTCCTCCAGAGCCTGGGCTCCCAGGAGCAGCCCTCTAGTGAAAAAAGAAAGAAAGAAAAAAATAGAAAGAACTGTGAAGAAATATTTTCTATGAATGGCCCAACCGCCCTGCCTGCAGCAGCAGCAGCAGCCAGCACACAGACTCGCCAATGAGACGGGGGGGGGGGGTAGCCCCTCCTGCCAGCCAGGAAGGCCCCCTCCCCCGGGGCACGGGATTCCTCCCTCCTACACCTACTCACCCCCAATCCCGAAAGCTGTCCCTCCCTCTATCCGCCTCCCTTCCATCCTTTTAAGGAGAACACTGTAGATTTAAACCACAAATTAAATTTTTAATGAAACCACACAAGAGTAGTGCCCAGTGTGGTGCAATATGGATGAGATGGCAGTGTCCGGCCCACAGGAGCTCACCCCAGAAAGCTTTTTAGGATGTTATGCAATATGGAGCCAAATTAATTATCGGCATCAAAGCTCTGCGCCTCTGTAGAGCTGCCGGGCCAGTGGGTGTAAAACGGACACTTTTCATTGTTGTCAGTTCCAATGGCAGTCACAGGGAGAAGGCGATGACTTCACAGAACCAAATACGAGCAGTGTGATGCCCAGGGTGTAGGGGAAAGAAGGGAGGGGAGGGGGCAAAGAGGCAGGAGGGGAGGAATGATAAAGGGAGAGACGTGGGTACTTAGGGGGAGGGTGGGAATGAGAGAAAGAGAGAGAGGGAGAGAGAGAGAGGGAGGGAGGGAGAGAGAGAGGGGGGAGAGAGGGAAAGAGAGAGAGGGAGGGAGAGAGGGAGAGGGAGAGAGAGGGAGAGGGAGGGAGAGAGGGAGAGGGAGAGAGAGGGACAGGGAGAGGGAGAGAGAGGGACAGGGAGAGGGAGAGAGGGAGAGGGAGAGGGAGAGAGAGAGAGAGAGAGAGAGAGAGAGAGAGAGAGAGAGAGAGAGAGCACGCTCCAGAGTGAACACAGAGGAGTGTTTAAGACTACAAGCTGCCTCTGCAGCAGAATGCAGCCATTCCCCCTGGCCATGGACTTGGCTCCTGTCTCTTTCTGCCTCTCCCTCCTGCACTCCCAAGCATCCCCTACTCAAAGGGGCCATGGGTGGGCCCTAAAGCATCCAGCTGGACTTCAGTCACTCCCATGACTCGCCCCCACGAGAGCAGAGTCCACACCTGGGTGTAAGGGTTCAGGTACCAGGGTCTGACCGGGAGACGGTGAAGTTCCCGGTGGCCAGGTCTCTTGTCTGGCTTGTTGTCCTCCCTGCAGCGGCCAGGCGCCAGATGGCCCTCTACAGCCCACCTAATATAACAAGACCTGGGAGGAGACGTACCTTTGCAGGCACTGAGCCTGCAAAAGCCTCCTAGGAGATCAGGTAGGCTTGGATCAGGAGCCCACCCAGAACAGGGTGAGGGCAGGCCCTTCGTGGGCCCCTGTCCCCCGGCCAGCATCCTGTGCTAAGTCATTATATATCCAACGAAGTCATTATTTGCCTTTCTCTGGTTCCTCTGCCTGGGAGGTGTATAAAGGTACTGCTCAAAGCTGAAAAGCCAAGGCTTCTAGGCTGCAGCGACTTGTCCAAGGCTTTTTTTTTTTTTTGGTTTTTCGAGACATGGTTTCTCTGTGGCTTTGGAGGCTGTCCTGGAACTTGCTCTTGTAGACCAGGCTGGTCTCGAACTCACAGAGATCCTCCTGCCTCTGCCTCCCGAGTGCTGGGATTAAAGGCGTGCGCCACCAACGCCGGGCTTTGTCCAAGGCTTTAAGGGCCGAGCAACCACAGAGGGCTTCAGCCTCCAGACACAGCTTATATACTTAACCCTGGGCCCCCACGCCCAGGCCAGCACCCGAAGCTAAAGTTTATTTGCAGGCCCAGACAGGACCACCCTCGGTCTCCACCCTAAGACGCTAAAGGAGGTGGGAAGGGGTCACAGGTCATCTTGTTAGGGCGTCAGGCGCCTACCCTGGGAACAAGGACACAAGGTGGACGTGGTGGTGCGGGCACACTGAGTCCCAAGCACTTGGGAGGCAGAAGCCGGCAGTTTTCTGTGAGTTTCAGGACAGCTGGTCTACATTACCCAGTCCCGTTCCAGGCTAGTCAGGGATACATGGTGAGAGCCTGTCTCAAAAAATTTTTAAAGGACAGGCAGACAGATTCAGAGCCGGGCCTTGGCTAGAGGCTTACGAAGGGGAAGTGGGGTTTCTGAGTCAATTGGCAGAGCCAAGGGCTGAATGCCGATCAGCCTTGTCACTCATGCAGAATGAGGCCCTGGTTCCGCAGGCGGCATAATTTCAGGTACTCTCCTGTCCCACCCAATTGGGCTCCCTGCCCAGTACCATCCTAAGCTATTCCAGGTCTTCCTGGAGCTCACCCAGGTCCTAGTATGGTCTGAGAGTTTTCACGTGATCTACAGTGAAGGTCTGCTGACCACTGGGTCTGATTTCTCAGCGTCCGCTCAGCCAACCTGGCTTGCAGGTGCCTGAACAATTCTCCCTCCTACTTCAGAACGGGCTTCAGTGTTGCTCCCGCAGGGGACCTAGCCAGGATCCGGGTCCCCCTAGGGCAGAGTCTGATGCTGGTGGGGGCTTCACTGAGGGGTAGTGCAGGCAGTGGGTGGGTGGGGTGACAGAGTAGGAATGGGGGGCTGTCAGGGTAAGTGGGGCAATCAGAGCTCACCCCTGTATGTAACCTTTCTATAACCACTTACTCCGCTGGGGGTGTGCCGAGCGGGAGAGTAACGGTTATCCAAGCCACTGGTCACAGGCATGGACACCCTGTCCCTTCCCCCTCCCCCTTCCAGGAGGATGTGTGGCTGTGCACACTATGTACCTGCAGCTAAGGTCAGAGAAGCAGAAGGTGGGAGCTCTAAGCTGCCTCTTCAGGATGAGGCCACAGCCTGGGGAAACAACGGGGTGGGAGTGGGGCTTCAGGAAGCCGGCAGGTTCTCCCTGTACCACCTGGCATAAACTACCATCTGCCGGACGGTGGTGGCACACACCTTTAATCCCGTCACTCGGGAGGCAGAGGCAAGTGGATCTCTGTGAGTTTGAGGCCAGCCTGGTTTACAGAGTGAGTCCCAGGACAGCCTCCAAAACAATACAGAGAAACCCTGTATCGAAAAACCAAAACCAAACCAAAGCAATAACAACAAAAACAGTACCATCAGTGTTCACCCAGTGGACAGCTCTTGGGGACTGTCACCTGCAAGAGTGGGCACAATGGCCTGGGGATTTGCGTCTCACTATGTTGCAGAATGACGACAAAAGGGACCTAAGGAAGGACCTGGAGAAAGTAGGTAAGGTGGCCGAGGCTGGCCCGTTGCCAGGCATCTACAAGGTTCCTGCTGTGGAGTCTTCCCAGTCAGAGCAGGAAATAAAAATTACTCCCCTGAAAGGACTTGGGGTCCTAAAGACTCCACCAAGAAAGACCCATTCCCTTCGTCTCACGGTCTCCCAGCTGTTTAAGCAGTCTGAGGTCTCCCATCTTTCTTCCTTACCACAGGGATATTTTTGTTGTTGTTGTTTTGTTTTATTTTGTTTTGTTTTGAGATAAGGTTTCTCTGTGTGTAGCTTTGGAGCCTGTCCTGGAACTCACTCTGTAGACCAGGCTGGCCTCAAAAGAACTCACCAAGATCCTGCCTGCCTCCGCCTCTGCCTCCCGAGTGTGCTGACATCAAAGGCGTGCGCCACCAACGCCCGGCTCCACACAGGGATTTTTGAGGCCGATCCTGCTCCCATCCCCTGGGAGCCCCTCTTCATCTTCATGCATTCCCAGGAAAGACAGCGGTGCAAGACCCTCAGGGCCTGAGAGATCCAGACACTGAGTCAGCAGGAGGCACGCAGTGTTGGGACACCCAGCTCAAACGGTGTGCTGGCGTCTCCTCTCTGGCCAGCCTCCTACCTGGTTTTGAGACCCTCCCTGGCCTCGCCCACCTCCCAGGCCTCTCCCAGTTGAGCAAATACCATACCATCATGTGATAACTATGCTAACCCTGCTGACTGGTGCTCACCGTCTGCCTGGCATCCCTACCTCCATCTAACTAGGTTCCTACCCTATCCAGAGTCAGGCTGAGGTTGGACAGTTAGAACTGCCACCCAGGGCTCACACACAGTACCACCCTCCTCTCCCTTCCTACTGCTCCAACTTGCCATCGGCTTCACTTTGAACAGGATACCCGTCATATCATTTTCTGACATTTTATTTTTTACCCCGGGGTAGAGGCTGGCAAAGAGCCAAGGGACTTTCTCTAGAACACTGCAAACTCCTGATCTAGGGGACTCAGGGCCATTGGAGTCTGGCTTCAGACCGACCACCATGGCCATCTTACAGACATCTCCTGGTAAATTACGGGCAGCGGATGCCAATGTCTTAAGAGAAGTGCTCCAAAGAGAAACTTAAAACCAAGAAAATTTTAGCCATCAATTAAAACAAAAAAGAGCCAGAAACCTCTCTGTGTCTCCGGGGTTCAGGAGCGTTCCTGGCACGCAGCAGGCCCCTGATGACTACTCATCCGGTAAGTGGATGGATGAATGAGTAGACTCTGGTGGCCGGGTCCTGCTTTCCTGGAATCGTGTTCCTTCGCACATTTACTCGACTGCCTAATTCGAAAAATGGGCAAAATATCATCCGGAGGCCTACCAGCTGTGCTCTGCCACAGGTTCCTGAAGCAGCAAAGAGGGGGACCCCCACGTGCACAGAGCCCAGGAGCTTATGTGAGCCGTGCCTTTATTCAGATAGGTGTAATTGCCCCAGTGCAGTGGATGGCCCCCGGGGAGGCCTTCGACTTCTCCCCAATTACTATTCTGTCCCGTGTCAACCCAAGGCCACCCTGTCCCCAGGTGAAGAGGCAGGAGAGCTACCCCTCCCTGCTAGGAGCCCACACTTTCCCTTCCCTAGTGTGAGTGATGGCGTCCGCACACAGGCCTTGTAGCAGCTGCAATCCCTCGCCAGTGCCAGCCATTTTTATTCCGAGACGCTTTTATGCCTCGACTCATGTTATTCTTCCCATGCTCCCTCCTGGTGTTTGGCAGACGGCGAAACTGATGCACAAGGGTGCAGCCAGCTGGCGGGACCCTCCCGTGTCCTTCGCACCAGCCAGACGCCATTAGCGGGAAGGAGCATCCCGTCCCTAGGACGGAGCTGATGTGTGTGGGCCTTCGCATGGCCGCTCTTATTTGCATGTATGAGCTTAGCTCCAGAAGGGCAGCAAGATGAATGATGCCAGGCATTTGGAGGCCCAGGAAGTACCACACAAACACCTGGTGGCGTCTCCATTGTTGCAGTCCCTTATTTTTATTTATTTCTTTAATACAGAGGCTAGAAAACTGGCAATGCTGGATTCCCTCCCTTCCAGGGTGGCCTCCCTCACGGCTTGACTGTACCTCCGATCCCAGGCTGCCTCACACCCACAACACCCGCAGAGCGCTTTGGCTCTGCGTAGCCTGGGGTGTCTTGTCATGCAAGGCTGACATTCCACCAAGGGCGGGTGAGGGTCTCTGGTAAGGACTCACGGGCTCTCTTCCTCTAGACCCACCCAGCCAAGGCCTTCTTCACTCCCCCAAGAAGAAGACGGGTGGAGGGAGCTCTCTCAGGTTAATGTTTATTCTTCTGGCTCCAAAGCCAAATGTCCGGAGCTGTCATTAATTCCCTAAGATGTCCTCGAGGTCACCTTTCTTCCCTGGCCTCTGCTACAGCCTTCACTCCTTACCACTCCAGGGAAACCTCACGGTTTCTGCTGCCCCTCAAGTCCTTTCTTCCGGGGTCTCAGAGCACGCCAGACAAGGCTCGCTGCTGCTGCTGGGACGAGGGTGGGCGCCCACAAGATGGGGTTCTGACCCTCAGCCAGGCTCCCTCTCTAGCTGAAGTCTGTCTGACTGTTGCCACCACACCCCCCCCCCACAACACCCGCTTTGCATTTCACGACTGACAAGGTAAACACCCCGCCACACTCTATTGTTCATGATGCTTAGTGTTGTCTGTGAGTGTGTGACACTGGGGGTTGAGCCCCGGGCTTTGTGCATGCCACGAAAGCATTCTGCTATTGAAGTACACGCATGCAGCTGCTGCGTGGATCGTGCAGGCCACCTCTGGGTCTCCCACACTCTTCCAGATCTTGCTCTGATGTCACCTCAAGACACTACTTTCCCATGACACCTGGACCTGTTGCTGGCTTGGGTAGTTCCTGCCCCGGGGGGCTCAGTGAGGACAGTGTGTTTGTATCTGTCCACTGTACTGAATGCAGTGCTCTCAGAGATGGGGGTGGGTATTTTGTTCATCCCTGGCCCTGGCACCTTGCCTGCCCTCTGCAGATGCTCTGGAAATATTTGCCAAACTGAGAGCAAACATGAGGAATGTTTACATCGTGCTAAATGCCCAAGATCTTGCCTGGCATCTGAAACCCCTGCTTGGAAGAGTCTAGAAGCATTCTGCCCCCACCTGCAAATGTTTGCCGCAGTGCAAGCCTTCCTAACGCTGGGTTCAGCCCCATAGGAGGACAGGGAGGGCTGGCTGAGAGACCGTATAGGTCCCTGTCCCCAGCAAGATTGGGCCAGCAGCTGCCCAGAGTCCCTGGACAGCCTCACTCATCTGCATATTGGCTGAGGATGTGCTGGGCCCCTGTCCTCACTGAGTTCCTTCCCTTGCCTGGTAAGGACCCCTGACTGGAATGGGAGGGCTTGATGGCCATCACATTTTCACCAGACCTCCTATGGTTGGCCTCTCTTCATTTCTTCATCTGTGAGAACAGCCAAAGCACGCCTTAACCAGACACAGGGGCAGAAACAGAAGGATTTTGAAAAAGGACAACCAGGGTCTGGCAAGGGGCTTAGCAGGCAGGAATGTTCACCCCCAGGTTTGAGTGACACACATACACACATACACACACACACACACACACACACACACACACACACACACACGACTACAGGTGTCCATGGGGGCCAGGCAGTTGTGAGTCACTTGCCATCTGTGCTAGGAAGCAAATTCAAGTCCTCTGGAAGAAGAAAAAAATATGCTCTTAACTGCTTGAACCAATTCTCCATTCCAGTAATAAATAAATATTCTATTCTCTCTTGTCAATATTCTTTAAATTAAGAATTTAAAGCCTCTCCCCCGACCCCGTTTTCTCTCTCTCTCTTTCTCTCTCTCTCTGTCTCTGTCTCTGTCTCTGTCTCTGTCTCTGTCTCTCTCCTGGTTCATTGAGACAAGGTTTCTCTGTGTAGCCCTGGATGTCCTGGAACTCACTCTGTAGACCAGGCTGGCCTGCCTCTGCCTCCTGAGTGCTGGGATTAAGGGTGTGAGCCACCTACCTTCACGAAGAGGACAGACAGACCTTCCCAGCACAGCCAGGGAGTAGGTCTTTTGCTCATCACAGAGCTGGTGGGCGGGGCCGTCAGGAGAGTGACTCTGAGGTGCAAGTGGGCTGAGGTTGTGACTCAGAGGCCTGTGAGGCTTGCTGCTGTCAGAGCAACCCCACCCCACCCCCTCGATCCCTAGGGTGCTAAAGGGGAAGGAGAAGTTTCACAGGTCCTGGCTGCATCCTCAAGGCTCAGCTGGTCCCTGCGGAACCTCCTGGTGACAGTAAGAAGCCCACAGGTTGCTGTCTGTGGATGCTGTCCCCCCCAATCTTGTGTGGGAATGCATCCACACAGAAAGTGTCCATGGCTTCGGCATCACTCAGGAGGAGAAAGAGAATACAGCCAGTGTCCCTGTCTCCGGAGTACTGACAGGAGAGTCAGTCACTAACCAATACAGGAATGGGGGGTGGGGGTGGTTTCCTCCTCTGCAGGGCACTCCCACCCAAGATGGATGGCTAATGCATCTCAGGAAGATATGGCAAGTCCCCAGGGTTTGCACACGGCTCTGTGCCAAGTTTCCCTAAGTCCCAATGGTCAGTGACTCTATGGGTCTCATCTTGGAAGTGGGGGGGTGGGTCTCTCTCCACCCATTCCACCTTTCCCAGGTTCTCCCAGCTGGGATAGCTTTCCCAAAGCACAAGATGGACCTTAATGCCAGAAGGGTTCAGAGGGAAGGGTTGGGGGGAGGCTGGTGCCCCTGTCTGGCATTGCCCCTCACCCACTCATGGACAAGGCCATGCTGCAAGGTGGGGTGTGGGTGCACCCCTGTGTGACCCCCCTACTCCCCTTTGGGTAAAGGCCCTGATGGCCATTGATGTGTGATTCCCCCTGCGTAGTCCTCCTGAGCACGGCCACCATTTCCACCCTCGTGCCAGCCATCAGCTTGCAAACAAAACTTACCTGCCCATTGGCCTACACCACATGCCGTCTGCTCCCTCCCCCGGTGGTGTGCTGAGCCCAGGCCAGTTGGCTGTTCAGTCTTCAGGAAGTTTGCAAGTTGGTATAACACAGCCATCACTAAGGCTTAAAATTACATAAAAATACAATTAAATAATTGTAATGAAAACGAAGTATTCCAAATGCATCACTTTCTAATTGTCCTATATATCTCACTCAGTTCTCCTGCAGTTATCTCTGGGCTTTGCGTGGGCACAGCGGGAACACTCTATGGTGGTGTTAGACTCCAGGGGCGGTGCTGGGTCCACAGACCCAGGCAGGGATGTGTACCCCATTTCTTCTCACCTCAACTCCCGGCTGGCTCTAGGATGTGGTACCCAGACCAGGCATAGAGAAATAACTGTCTCTGTGTAAGGAGCCAGTGTAGCCCCTTCCCATCGCCTCCTTGGGGTCCCCCCGCCCCCCGCTGATGGTTTTGGGTAAGGTGGAGTTACAGTCCTTTCCCCAGGCCCCCTGGGCTACTAGACACTCCGAACAATGGGAGGCAGCAGCGACAACTTTATAACGAACAGGGTGGGCTCTTCCTACCCAGGCTCCTGAGAATGCCTGGAAAGGATTTAAGGTGCATAGAGGCCTCTTCCAGTGTGGTTGCCCACCTGGGATGGGCAGGGTCTGCATAGCGCCTCCAGGTGGACAGAGCCCTTTGCAATGGTGGCCGAATGGACCGTACCCTTGGCTGTCTTCCCCGCTCTGGGCGCCACAGATCCCAAAGGTATTGTCACGCCTGGTCACCTTTGTATCTTCTGAGCCCATGTCCCCCTGCCGCCCCCCCCACGCCCCGCTCCCATTATCCTCTGTCAAAGGGTTATGCTCTCTCAGTGCCCAACTGAGAGAGTACCAAGCCGCCGAGGTCTCCCGGATGGTAAAAATAGGAGTCCTGGTCCGCTCCTGGGCCTCAGGATACAAAATCTAGCTAAGCACTCCAGCTCCCTCTACACACCTGCAGGGGAAGGGCCAGGCTAGTCTCCCGCGCCCACGCACTCTGAGCGGGGATAGCCTCGCCGCAGGGCTGGGCCGGGCCGGGAACTGCTTCGCGTTAGATGAGCGGGGGAGGCGCGGGCCGAGGCCGAAGCGCTAGGAATGCGCGGGGTCCCCACGTCCCTCGCACTAGGCTGAGAGTTGGGGGCTGATGTCTTCAAGCAGTGCAGCGCCCCTGGAGTAGGTAATTCCTCCGGAGTTCCGATTCAAGCCAGTGCGGCTCCGGGTGCACACCCGGCGCATAGAGAGGCACGAGGCTAGTCCTGGGTCCCAATGGGGGGGATTTGGAGGACTCCCAGGCGCAAGCCAGCGGCGGATTCCTGTGCTCGGTGCAGGGCAGTTGACGCGCTGGAGCGGGAGCCCCGCACTCTCTCCCTGCACCGAGCCCAGGACAGCCGCGTGCGGGCCGCGGGGTCCCTCTGGCGCCCGGAAGCGGCGGTCTAGCGATGCGTCGCGCGTGCAGGGGCCATGGCTGCTCGCAGCCCAGACTCCGGATGGTTAAATGCAGTGGGGGCGTCCCTGGGGCTTGGGGCTGGGAGAAGGCGTTGGAGAAGACCTGGGTCTTTGTCAGTCTGGCTTCTAATCTCACCGCCGGCGATACCCACTGCCCACATCTGGGATCTTCTGCCTGTGGATCTAGGACTCACGGTTGGGACCCAGTCTAGCCCAACATCCTGTAAAACGATGTGGGGCAACTGATCGCTTGATGGAAGGGGGGGGGGAGATGTCTGCCGGGCCAACCGGGCCAGCCTGAAGCTGGGGCTCTTTCAGTCACTTAAAACCAGAGTTGGGTTCTCCTTGCCTTAGTTTCCCTTTCTGCATAATTGGGGCTTGGTCAAGCTCCCAGTTCCAATTCTGGTTCCGACATGGGGCGCAAGCTGCAGCCCAGACCCTTGTCCCGAGTCCCCAGAGGCATCGGAACCTGGACTGGAATCCAGCCAGGCAGCGCCGCTATCCAGAAAAAAAAAAAAAAAAGAGGCGTGGGTGTGTGGGTGGCAGGGTCAGAGGTGCGAAGAAGTCTCTGTCCACCTCTGGGACTCCTCCCCCCAAAGTCCAGGAGCGTGAGGAATAGGCTAGGCAGGGCTCATGTGGACCGGTAAGCCCAACACACATTCACATACAAAGGGACGCACGGACACGCCCAGAGCGAGTCCACTCTTTAAGGGAAGGATCTCCTGCCAGGGCCCCTTTCCAGTGTCCAGCCAGCGTCTGGGGCACCACCTGCCCGGAGCTAGGCTGGCTTTGATGGCAGGAAGGGTTCGATCCGCAGATCCGAGAAGGCCCCAGCCCTGACCAGCACGTAGTGGGGGCTCTTGCTTCTCGGGGAGTGGGGGTGTGCAATGTTAGGTCCACAAACCCCAGGAGTTGGGAGAAGGGGAATACAGGAGAGCGGGGAACCAGGGCGTGGGAGTTCGCAGACCCAGGGTGTTCTGTGGCTTTCAGCCCCAAACGGACGTCTGTGAGCCATGGGGCGGCCTCACTACCCCTTCCCGGGGGTAGCTGCACGCTGGGAACACCGACGTTGATGATTTGGGGAGAAGCGGGCTGCGAGCGTGCAGAACCGGGACCCTGCGAGCATCCATTGCGACCAAGGGAACTGAGCTTGTCTTGTGGCCTTTCTTCTCTTCTGAGCTCCGTCGGAGATTAGGGGCACCAGGTAGGTGCCCCACCATCTAATCCAGGCCCACGGCTGATCTCCCCATTGGCCCTGTGTTCTGGGAGCCTTCGGGGAAGCGGCGCGGGCCGGGTGGGGGCGTGCGTGCGGAGGCGGTGGGAGGGGGGCGGCGGCGGATCCGGTGGGGGGAGACGAGAAGGGGAGGGCCGAAGTATCTCCAGCCGCGCTCCCGTGCGACCCCCGCGGCGCCGCGGGCCCGGTCCGCACACAATTAAAGCGGGATTCCTCCCCCGCTGACGTCGGCGGCGCCGAGGCCCCTCCCGCGGCTGCATAAAAAGGCGCGGGCTCCGCAGCGCAGGCGGCAGTGGGGGCCGAGGAGCGCGGCGAGAAGACGCTACAGCTGAAAAGCGAGGTTCCCAGAACGCGGGCCGCCTGCGGAGCGACTGCCCCAGCCAGCCCGAACCCGGTCCCAGCCCGATCCCCACCGGAGCCGAGCGGACGCGGTGCTCCAGGTGTCCGCAGCCATGCTGGCCGGCCGCGCCGTGCGCACCTGTGCGCTGCTCGCCCTCTGCCTCCTGGGCAGTCGGGCCCAGGATTTCGGGCCGACCCGCTTCATCTGCACTTCGGTGCCGGTGGACGCCGACATGTGTGCCGCGTCCGTGGCCGCGGGAGGCGCGGAGGAGCTTCGGAGCAACGTGCTGCAGCTCCGCGAGACCGTGCTGCAGCAGAAGGAGACTATCCTCAGCCAGAAGGAGACCATCAGGGAGCTGACCACCAAGCTTGGCCGCTGCGAGAGCCAGAGCACCCTGGACGCAGGTCCCGGCGAAGCCAGGTCGGGCGGCGGCCGCAAGCAGCCTGGCTCGGGCAAGAATACGATGGGCGACCTGTCCCGGACGCCGGCCGCGGAGACGCTCAGCCAACTCGGGCAAACTTTGCAATCTCTTAAAACCCGACTGGAGAACCTCGAGGTCCGCGTGAGCTGCGGTTCCCCCTCCGCGTTGTGCGCCCTTCTGCCCTCGCCCACCCCATCCCGACCCGCCCTCCCCCCCCCTTGCCTCTTGTGCGCGCTGATGCCGGACCCTCGCTTCTCGGACCCTGCGGGGCGCCGAGGGCGGCCTCTTGCCGGAGCTCCCTGCCAGGCCGCCCCCGCAATCGCCCCAGGGACCGCGCCGCGGGCCTTCGCTCACGGTCCGGGCTGCACGCCTAACGGTGTGGTTTTCCCCTACCCTTGTGCCCCCGCAGCAGTACAGCCGCCTCAATTCTTCCAGCCAGACCAACAGCCTCAAGGATCTGCTGCAGAGCAAGATTGATGACCTGGAGCGGCAGGTGCTGTCTCGGGTGAACACTCTGGAGGAGGGCAAAGGGGGCCCCAAGAACGACACAGAGGAGAGGGTCAAGATCGAGAGCGCCTTGACCTCCCTGCATCAGCGGATCAGCGAGCTGGAGAAAGGTGAGGGCTGGGGGGGGGGGGGCGGCATGCTGCATGCTCCCTCTAGAGACATTGTCAGGGTCCTGCTCCCTGCCCTGTCCTCTGGTCCGGGACCCACTCTGCAACCCCTCCCCAGTCAGAGCATCCTTCCTGCCCAGTGTCCAGATGCCTCCCCGGGGAAGCAGCGGGGCTTAAGAAGGGATTGCACAGTGCAGTCAGGACACTCGCGGGATTTTTTTTCCAAGTCTGATTTGTTTAATCTTCAATAACTTTGCACAGTAGCTGTTTCTGGCCCAAGCTTTCCTTAGTAATTGGAAAGCCTTGCTTTGGCTGGAATCTGTCACCAACAAAGATCTGGACACCGGCCCTCGTGGGCCATTGAGTATCTTTTCTCCCAGTGCCCCTGGTGCCCTGGTCCAGGTCCCTCTCTCCACCTCGAGCTCCCTCTTCCTCGGTTTCCTTTTTCCAGTGGCCCGTCTTTCATGCCGCTGCGTTTGCCCTGGTGATGAGCTCGGCTAGCCCCTAGCACCTGCCCGGTGTACTGATTAGTTGTGCCCTGGAGCCACAGAAATCAAACAAGGTTGTAAAAGGGGGGGGGGGGGCAGCCCAGCTCAGAGCAGGGCCACGTGACCCTGCCCGGACTGCAAAATGTACCAGCTGGATTTAAACAGTGCCATCTTAAGGCGTGTTATGTAACTGAAAAAAACATCAAGGGAAAGAGGGACCTAAGAAGGGAGGGGTGGGGGATTTAGGGAAGCAAGGCACTCCCGAGAGATGCCAGTACCCCCCCCAACTGCGAGCCTGAATTGGGAGGGGGTCTGCAAAAGGCCTGCTCAGTTGCTCTCTTGGCTGGGGGGGGGGGGGATGGGGTGTGTCCTGTTCTGCTTTCTAGAAGTCACTGTTAATCTGGGGACCAGGTTCTTCCTGGGCTCTGGGGCAGGGGTGAAGCCAGGAAGTAGCAGGGCAGGTGCATTCCCGACCCTAAGAGGGTGAGCAGCCACTGCTCAGTAGGATCTGCTTTCCTGGGAAGTCAGTCACTGGAGGCCCAGGGCCAGCCACAGGAGGTGTAGGGTGTGGGGGTGAGGGTTAGACTTTCCCAGAGGATGTTGGTGAGCAGTCAAGAAACTGGATGGAAGGATGAGGGTGGGGGAACCAGACTTGGAACCTGAGTTTCCAGGGCTTTCATCAGAGATTGTGTGGCTTCCTCAAAGCTCACCTTGGGGGCCTCTAGTTCAAAGAAGGCTGACTTCCCCTGCTGCCCTGGCTCTCGGTGGGCTGCAGGCAACCTCCCTAGGGAGGCTGGTGGAGAACTGCAACTCCTCCTGAAGGATACCCGGGTGCTGTCAAAGGACTGAGTAATTGGCTGTGTAGCATGTCCTGGCCTCAGTGGAGGGGACCGACAGCAGGGGACAGTTGTCTTTGGTGGAGATTGAGAGAAAAGCCCAGTTCAACCCAGAGGCCCTAAACACCATCGCCATCTAAATCAGGTCGGCGCCCAAGGGGGGCTGCTCAGAAGGGAGCTAGCCTGGTTCCTGCCCCCCCCTGCGGCCACACCTTCTCAATCATTCAGCCCAGTCCCCTCTCTGTGCCCGCTTTGCAGCCCAGAGGCAGGATCACAGCCTGTCCCCTACCCTGGCCTCCCCGGGGATGATACCGTGTGGCAACAAGAACTGGCCAGGCCGAGAGACCTTGGGTCAGCTCTTTTTTTTTTTTTTTGCCAGCTGGCCCTGTTCCCTGTCTGCATCACGAGACTTGATGGGGGACCGAACAGGACTCATGCTATAAGGACTTGATCAAAGGTACAAGATGCCAGGGCTTCATCTGAGTGTCCTCCCCCCTAGGTCAGAAAGACAATCGCCCGGGAGACAAGTTTCAGCTGACGTTCCCGCTGCGGACCAACTACATGTACGCCAAGGTGAAGAAGAGCCTGCCGGAGATGTACGCCTTCACCGTGTGCATGTGGCTCAAATCCAGTGCAGCTCCCGGAGTGGGCACGCCCTTCTCTTACGCCGTGCCCGGGCAGGCCAACGAGCTGGTCCTCATCGAGTGGGGCAACAACCCCATGGAGATCCTCATTAACGACAAGGTAATGCCACCACCCCGCCCTGAGCTTATGGGTGTCATCGGGGTGGTGTGCCCACACCCCCCACCAGAGTTTATGGGACTGCAGGACTTCTAGAACCCAGGGGGGTGGTGGGGTGGTGGGTGTGGGATGCTCATCAAGGCTGTGTGGCTCTGAGAAAAACACGTCTGCCCAGCAAGACCAGGGGAGGTGGAGGCTGAGTCAGATCAGAAATGGAGAGAGGCACATCTTCCCCCTGCACCTCACTGGGAGACACGGGGAGACAGACTGTCCGGAGAGTCGCCCTAGCTGGAGGAGAAGAGGGAGGGGCGGCAGAGGACAGTCCTGGGAATGTTCTAGTCCATCCTGCTGCTAATCCGGCTCCTCCCCCACTGGCTGGTTGACTGGCTGAGGCTTTCCGTACTTGGTGATACTCTAGAGGGTGAAGTGGAGCCAGGAGCTTCTCCCTTTGCCTAGGTCTGTCTCACATTGCCCCTGCTCTCAGGAAGAGGCCAGCCCCTTCCCACTCAGGAGCGAGAACAGTTCTCTCTCTTAGGGAGTTTAGCTCCACCCTGTCCCTGAGGGATAGTGGAATTAGCTGCCAGCTCTCTGCCCCCACCTCTCTACTCCAGCGCCAGTGGCGAATGGCTCAACCCTGACTAGGAACAGGATCGAAAGACCCTGGAAAATGCACCGCGCTTTCCCTGACTTTGTGGGATCTGACTTGCAGTGCCCTGCCTGTGGTGGACCAGCGAGCGTTGTGTGTGTGTGTGTGTGTGTGTGTGTGTGTGTGTGTGTGTGTGTGTGTGTGTGTGTGTGTGTGTGTGTGTGTGTGTGTGTGTGTGGTATATGAAACTCTGCTTCAGGCCCTCAGTCCAAACCATTCTCACAGCCTCACTCAAGGCTCTTTGCAGGGGCTGACTACCGTGTATACCAGAGGAGTGGGGTGCTGAGAGGGATAAGAGACCCCGTGGGGGAGGCCGGAGGCTGCAGTAGACGTGGCCACACACTCCTGTCAGAGGCTTGCTTTTCCGGACTGGCTAAGAGGGGAGGAGGAGTGAGGTCTCAGAGCTGTTGCTCTCCAGTGGGATTCCACGGCCCATCCATGGGTGGGGCTGGCAGATGCTAAGGCTGTCTGAAGGGGTGATGCCGTGAGAGTTAAGTAATCAACAGCCCAACAAGAGTGGGGTGAGGAATATTGCGGTGGAGCGTGTCAGCATCCTGAGCTCTGGGTAGCACTGGGCTACGGTGTCCATGATGTGTGTCATCCTTCCTAGGTGGCCAAGCTGCCCTTCGTGATCAACGATGGCAAATGGCACCACATCTGCGTCACCTGGACCACCCGGGATGGGGTCTGGGAGGCCTATCAGGATGGTACCCAGGGCGGCAATGGAGAGAACCTGGCTCCCTACCATCCCATCAAACCACAGGGTGTGCTGGTGCTGGGCCAGGAGCAGGTACTGGTCCGGGCGGAGGATGAGGGAGGAGGAGAGGTGTGTGTGTGTGTGTGTGTGTGTGTGTGTTCAGGTAGCAAGTTACACCCCAGCTGAGGTCTGGTCTGCTCTGGGTGGGCTTCAGGAAGCTCCACGGGCGTGGGCCCAGGTCCTGGCACTCTTGGGAATTGCAGCAGGCCTCTTTGGCATGGGAAGCCCAGTTCCACTTTTAGCAATGAATAATTTAGTTCCTGTGAAGTGGTTCATCTCCCACTGGGCACCAGCACCTGGGAGGGAGATGGAAGGACAGGAAGTCAAGTCTTCCATTCCTGTTGGGACATCTTTCAGCTGATAGGGTGTTTGAGAGGGTCTGAGACACTGCCACCTTGGTTGACCATGGCCTTCGCTGACTTCTCTGTCTCTCTCTCTGTCTCTCTGTCTCTCTCTGTCTCTTTCTCTGTCTCTCTCTCTCTGTCTCTGTCTCTCTCTCTCTGTCTCTTTCTCACACTCACACACACGCGCACACACACACACACACACTCTTGCCTAGGGGACTGGCTGTGTAAACGTGGTATCTCAAGGCCTGCAGGGGGTACGATCTGTATCCAGAGTGAGCTGGCACCATTCCTTCCCTGGGTTCCTCTCAGGGAGGGACAGGTGTGATGTCTTGACCACCCAGGCGCAGGAAAGCAAACAGCATTAAGTGCATGGGGTAAGGGGAGGAGACCCTGATGGGGAGCGAGGCATGGATACCTAAGTTCACTGCTAGCAGTGGGCCGTTCAGCTAGGCCCCTGGATCACCCAGCCAACCCCTTCTTCTCTCCCATCCCCCACTCTTCTCCAAAGGACACTCTAGGTGGAGGGTTTGACGCCACCCAAGCGTTTGTGGGCGAGCTGGCCCACTTCAACATCTGGGACCGCAAGCTGACCCCCGGGGAAGTGTACAACCTGGCCACCTGCAGCAGCAAGGCCCTCTCTGGCAATGTCATCGCCTGGGCCGAGTCTCAGATCGAGATCTATGGTGGAGCCACCAAGTGGACATTCGAGGCTTGTCGCCAGGTCAACTGAAAGCTTCAGGCTAGGGCTGAGCCCCCAGCCCCAGGCCTGCCCACCCTGCTTGTGCGGTGATGACCCATCGTCTCCCCCCTCCCCCAGGAATGACTCAAGGCCATGGCCCCTGCACACACGCACACGCCACACAGCCTGGTTTGTCCTCCTTGTGCACACGAAGCAGTCCCGACTCTTCTTTGGCCCTAAGGACACCCCACTTCTCCCTAGGAGCCCTACTATCTCCCGGGCATGCCTAGCTAAAGCAGGCGGCATCAGCTTTGACAACGCAGAATTAGGTGAGGTTGTGTGTGTGTGTGTGTGTGTGTGTGTGTGTGTGTGTGTGTGTGTGTGTGTAGGAGGCTTTTCTTTTAGAATGAGATAGTTCGTTCCCTCCTTTCTTTGTGGTTTTCGTGAGTTTCTGATGGGTCAGCTGCCTGTGTGCCTTGGGGCTGGTGCAGCTTCCTGGGCACACACTGTCTATCCTCATTTGCAGACCTCTTCGGGAGTGACATAGCTCTCTACTGATGTAAGTCCTGTAACTGTGTGTCGAGCCTGGGGAACCTTTCCACAGGAATTTCTGTTTGGGATAAGTGGATTCTCTGAAAATCGGAGACTTGATTGTCCTAGAATGGCACCACCTAGATGCCGTAATCTCCCTCCCCCACCCAAGTCAGGTTGTCTGCCGTCTGCATCTGAGGGTAGAGGGGGCCACTCCGCAGCTCCATCCATGGGCTGCACCCTCGGCCTTCCTGCCTCCTCCTGTCACTCAACACTGGGACCTGTTACTCCCTTCCAGCCTCCAAAGCTGCTTTAGCCCAGTGGTACCGAGAAGGGAGGGCCCCACCAGGGTCCCAGGACACAGGGCCTTGGCACCCACCCTCCTCCCTCTGGTAGAGAGACCAGAGGCTTTAAGTGGGGATCTCAGTGCTTGCTCTCAGCTGCAGAGGGCTCTGAGACTTGACCCACAGCCCATGGGAATGTCTTCCCATGGCATTTTTCACAGCCATACCCCTCCCAGCACACCCAGGCCCAGGTGAGCTAGCTCAGACCCCCCCTTGGGGGGGCAGGGGCTCAGAAACTGCTCAAGTGGAGCCTGCTGGCCAGGGTGGGGCCCGCCATCTATTCCTGCATCTCATGGGGGCATGCGCCCTGCAGTAGCCCCGACCTGCCACAGGCTTGTGACACTGAGCCCGTGGCTTTTCCTTATTGAAAGCAGGCCCCGAGTACCGCCTTCTAAGGACTGGGACAAAATGTGTATGCGCACATGCATCTGTTGGACGATAAGAGAACGCCAAGGAGGCTGTGTCCAGGTGGGGTGGACCCCTGCTCTGTTTCCCTGTCTTGTGGGCATACGCCCAGATGACACCTGGACTGTCTACTCCAGTAGCCTGACTAGCAAAAGGCTGGCAAGCCTTTCTAGAAACCTACGCACTGCCTGGCTCGTCTGCAGCTGCAGACGCTTCCTCAACGGGAGCAGGGCATGCTCCTGTCTCCTTCCACACAGATCCGTGTCGTGTGTGAACCTTAGTGCATCCGTGTGTGTCTGCGTGCTGTCTGTTGTCAGTGTTTCTCGTGGGTGTCTGCACGGTTCCCGGTCACTGCCCCGTGGCGCATTGCTCTTGGGGCATGCAAGTCAGGCAGTGTGCCACTTGGTGTCCAGCAGTGGCTTTCTCTTAGATAATTGTGCTTCCTCCTCGGCGCCCTTCGGGTTGTGGCATCCTTGGATCTGTGGGGGTCCTCTGTGTTTGCATGTTCCTCAGGGTGGTGTGTTTCTCGCTCCCTTGGTCCCATGCGTGTTCCCTTGCCTGCATGGACTTCTCTGGTTCTGTGTCGTGTGCCGAGTGCCACCCAGTGTTCTGTGATCACCCATGTAGCTGCTGAAAACAAAAATGGCTGGGTAAGCAAGCCAGGGGTGTTGGGGAAGGTCAAGAGAGAGAGAGATCAGCATCCCTCTCCCCTTCCTTCTCCCCAGATATAGCAAGAAGCATCTCTAACATCTAGGTTGAGAACAAGCCTGAATGGTACCCATGGTTGGGAGAGAGAGAGAGAGAGAGAAAGAGAGAGAGATCGTGAGCTTGGAATCAACTTTCCAGACCAGATCGAGCCCCACCCTTACTTTAGCCATCTGGGAGCCACCACCAGGCAAGGCCCAGAGCCGGCTGTGCCCAGTGCACTCCTGCCAACCCCTGCCACCAGCCCCTGCCAACGCGGACCCCAGACCACCTGCACCCAGATGGGTGGGGTGGGAGCTGTCCGCTCAGGACCACAAGCCATCCTCTGCCCCGGTTCAGAGGGCAGAGCACACCCCCCAATGCTTACCGCCTCCACCCCTTCATCTCACAGCGCCTCTCCCTTTTCCTCTCCCCTGCGGCACCCATGGTGCCAGGGACAGAAGCTGACGCCCAGCTCTTGCCCTGCCCCTGACTGGAGTCTGTGCCAAGCCCCTCCCTTCCGTCACTGTGCTCACACTTGGCACTTTGCTGGCCCTGAGAAAGGTAGTGACAGCCGCAAATCTAATCCGCATACCTTCCATCGACTCCGTAATCTGATTGATGTTCCCTCTTGCACTGAATAATACACGCCTCTCTCAGGTAAGCCATTTTATAAAAACACGAGATAAAACGCACTGTCGAGACAGTGTTTGCTTCTGCCGATGGTGTCCGACAGCACCCTGGGCATTAGAGTGGGAGAGTTGCCACGGAGGCTCCCAGGCCCCAGGGGGCTGAGAGCCCACTTGAATTGTAAGCCTTCTTGCTTTTGATAACACAGTATTATTTCTCTTACTGTAGAAGAAAAAGTTTATTACCAAACAAGAGTATTTTTATGAAAGAATAGGACAAACCTATAAATTATCTCAACCTATATCTCCCTTGAAAATACTTTCAGGCTCCACCAAAATGTAGGACTGAAAGCGTGTATTTTGGCAGAAAGAGATACATTTTTGTATGCTTTCTTTTCCTTTTGTAGACTCCCGACTTATTTTCTAAGACTGCAAAGATCACTTTGTCACCAGCCCTGGGACCTGAGACCAAGGGGTTGTCTTGTGGGTAGTGAGGGGGAAGGAGAGGTGGGCCTGAGGTTCACAGTCATTCCAGTGAGCCCTGATAAGGGGCCACCAGGTCTCGAAGGTGTGTTGGGGGCCTTTGATGGTGGGTTCTTTGTCTTGGAGCTGACTGGTTATGTGGGACGGGATGAGCATTTGGATACCAATTCTAAGCTTGATAGGAGACACTAAGGTTACTCTGGCTAACACAGGGGCATCGTGTCCTTAGTGTCACTCAGAGCTGTCATGATTTCATCTAAAACACAACATGTAAACTTACTCAGCTAACGATGGGAATCGTATTGCTTCTGTGCGCAGCGGGCTTACGTGCAATCTGTTCAGATGGGAACAAGTCATTGAGGAGAAACAAAAGCCCAATACTTAGAGTCCCAATTTTGTCTTATTTGCCAAAAAAGCAACCCCCCCTAGAGTTGATATTGTTACAATGTACATACTGTAAAATATGAAAGAATCGATGTATCTTACTTTTTCATTATTTGCTAACCAAAGCTGTACATTTTTCATACGATCTGCAGCCTTTTGAGTATCAAAGGGGTAAAACCACCACCATCAGCCATTATGGAAGTGCACTATTTATACTGGTACCCTTGCTTTCCCCCCCCCCCCCCCCCCATTTTCTTGCTGAGATGACATGAATCGTTGAGTTTATTTTTACACAGTAAAGAGTGAAGAAAGACTGTGGTCTCCTTGGACTTCTTTCTTCGTGTCTGTGTGTTTGCAAGAACATACGTGGATTAAGTGTGTGCACGTCTGAAGAGCAGAGTTCAACTCTGGTGTCTTCCTCTCCACCCTTTTCTTCCTTAAGATCTGTTTTTGCTTTACATACGGGTGTCTTACCTGTGTCTGTGTATGTATGTGTGTGCCTGGTGTCGGCAGAGGCGGCGGTGGTGGCGGGGGATGTATGGGATCACCTGAACTGGAGTCACAGACAGTTGTGAGCCACCATGTGGGTGCTGGGAGCTAAAAGCCAGGCCCTCTGCAAGAGCAGTCCGTGCTCTTCACTGCCGACTCCTCTCCAGCCCCACACCTTCATCCCTGCGCTGCCTTCTTTTTAGTGAACGTTCTCCCACTGAAGCAGGAGGCTCCCAATTCGGTGAGACTGGATGGTCAATGAAACCCGCAGATCCGCCGGCCTCTGCCCCAGCCCCAGCTCTGGGGTTGCAGCCCCTATGCCTGGCATTTTATGTGGGTTCTTGGACCTGAACTCAAGTCCTTAGGCTTGTACAGCAGGCTCTTTGCTCTAACCATTCACTGTCCCTTCTAAAACTTGTCCGTGTTGTCAGTTAAGACAAGTGCCCCTCATCTACAAGGAAGGGATTTCAGCCTTGTGTCAGCATCGCTGTGTTCCCCTACATCCTAAGCCCCTCTGGGATGTTGGGGTGACGGTTCTGCACCTTTCGGGGCAGCTGACACAGAGGCAGAAAGCCAAAGAGGTTTCCAAATCCCCCCCATGGCCATACTGGGACTGGGGTGCTGCTTCTGTTCATGGTCATGCATTAACCCCGCTGGGTACGTGTGGGAACTCGAGCCTGGGATTGGTTCTGTTTTCTTCTGCCATATCTCGCGAATGGATGAGTCCCATGTACCCTTCTTTTGAAGCTCCCAGGCCGCTGTGTTCTCACAGCCACAAAGTAAACGGAGTGGGTGACTCTGGGAGCCCTGGACCTAGGGAAGACTGGGCATTCCTGAGCAAGCTTGACTCTGGGTAGAGGCAGAGCTTTGACCAGAAGGGTCCGAGTGTCCTGGCGCTATAGATCCTAGGATGCTTTAACTACCTGCGGCCAGAGGCCATGGGAGACAAAAGGACCACTTGCTTGTTTAGCTGTCCCTTCCCCATGAATACACAGGTACACATTGTGTTTGCAGAAGGGACTGGCCATTCTGGCTGCTCGCTGGCATTTACCAGGCTTTTCCTTATGGTGTCTATAACCCCTGACCAGAAGTGCCTATAATCCCTGACCGGGACACAGAAGCTGTGGTTTGGTGCAAGCTGTTGTGTGGGAGACTTGGAGGGAGGGACTCTGTCCTCATGGCATGGCATGCAAGACAGTCCTTCTTGTCACTCTAGAGAGGTACCTCAGTTGCTGGGCGGTGGGGGCGCACACCTTTAATCCCAGCACTCGGGAGGCAGAGGCAGGCGGATCTCTGTGAGTTCGTGGCCAGCCTGGTCTACAAGAGCTAGTTCCAGGACAGCCTCCAAAGCCACAGAGAAACCCTGCCTTGAAATCTGCCCCTAAAAAAGGGGTACCTCAGTCTACAGAAAGTGGAGGCCTTGGGCTGGTGTTGGGTACAATCTTCTCATACGAGGAATGCAGGGAAGGGCATACCCAGTTTGAGCAGCTCTCGGTCACTCACTATGATTCATCCCTAATGCCTTTGTTTTTGTTTGTTTGTTTTTGAGACAGGGTTTCTCTGTGTAGCCTGGCTGTCCTGGAACTGACTCTGTAGACCAGGCTGACCTCGAACTCTTTTTTTTTTTTTTTTGGTTTTATGAGACAGGGTTTCTCTGTTTTGTGACCTCGAACTCTTAAGAGTCTGCCTCCCATTTAATGCCTTTATAAACATGCAGGAATGGCCGCACAGGCCTTGGGAGGCAGAAGCAGTCAGATCTCTCTGAGTTTGGGACCATCTGGTTTACAGAGGGAGTTTCAGTCCAGCCAGAGCTGCATAGTGAGACACTGTCTCAAAAACACAACAAACACCCCACAGCCTTGAAACAAACTTTCCACTGTTGTCAAACCTGACCTGGGCTCTTTGGCAAGTGACATCCAGGCTAGAAGGCTAAAAAAATGACTGAGAGAAACAGTGAACTTGCACCTGCACAGGCCTGTGAAAATGTCTGCATGGAGGCATGGGGGGGGGGGCGCTCCGGGTTCCAGAGCCGGAGGGAGCCCCAGGAGCCCCTGGAACAAACACACAAAGCCGTTTTGTCTTGTACACTTTTGGGGATGGGGGACTCGCTACCCACTAGAGACAGGCTGTGCCGCTAAATTCCTTCCCAGGAGATGTAATCCCATCAACCCCTCCTCCTCCTCCTCCTCCTCAGGTTGCAACAACACACAGAGGCACAGGGTTCACTCTGCAGAGCTGAGGAGTTTATTGGGCTTCCTTACACAGCATGGCTGAGGGGTTATTGGAGTGTGGACACTTCCCAAAGGCCACACTGGAAAGGTTACCTGGGGCGGGGGTGGGGGGTGGGGGGTGGGGGGAATGAAGGCTTTCCCATAGCCACATGAATGGAGCTCTCCTCCTAGTCTTTCCTGGCCCATATACTCTATCTAGCCTTCCCCGAGGCCGCATGTTATTCGGGGCAGTTATCTACAACAGGTGGCAGAGAGCCAAGGGATCCCCGCCCCCACCCCGCTATGTGAGGGGGTGCAGTCACCACACCCAGCTGAAATGACCTTTCTCAAGTGGGCCGGGCTGGGCTCCTCGTGGTGCACAGCTGTTTGCGGCAGAGTTCTCACCCAGCAGTGGTTTCCACACAGCCTGGGCCACCTCACCTTTCCTCAAGGCCCTCTTCTCCACGGTGTTCATTTTCTTTCACTGAGTGTCCACCTCTTCGTGAGCCCGAGGGGATCTGCACCCCCCAGTCTCCACTGCTCTGTCCTCTCCCAGACCACCCCCACCCCCCACCAAATGGCTCCATGCAAGGTAGCCCAACAGGCTTTCTGGAGCCTCTGGCCTTTCTGCTAGCCCCTTCCGGAGGTGAAGGCCTGAGCCTTTAAGGAGTTTCTAAGCTAACCCCGTACGTTTTAGTTTCTTTTCAGTTGCTGCGATAAAATACTCTCATAAAAGTACCTGGGGAGCCGGGGGCGTTGGTGGCGCACGCCTTTAATCCCAGCACTCGGGAGGCAGAGGCAGGAGGATCTCTGTGAGTTCGAGGCTAGCCTGGTCTACAAAGTGAGTTCCAGGACAGCCTCCAAAACCATACAGAGAAACCCTGTCTCAAAAAACAAACAAAAAAAGAATAGTAGCTGCTCTTCCAGAGGACCCAGGTTCAATCCCCAGCACCCACCTGGTGGCTCACAGCCTCTGTAACTCCAGTCCCACGGCATGTTTATCCTCTTCTGGCCTCAGCCAGCACCACACACACAGAGCACACACGCAGTGAACACACAACACACAACACATGTCCGCATGAGATAAAAAGAAATCTTAAAGAAACAGAGAGCTCGTGCCCCGCTCTCTCTTCCTTTGGACTCAGACTAGGGTCTAACCTGTAAGATAGTTCTACAGGGTGGGCTTTCCCACCTCAGTTTACCCAAGTCCCTCACAGGCATGCCCACAAGACTACCTAATCCGTACAGTACCTTGCTGAGGCTACCAGGTGATGCCAGATTTTGTCATGTCCATTAATAGCAAACATTAATGTCCCTACCTATCAGAAGAGTAAGGTCCAGAGGGTTAGGGTTAGGGTTAGGGGTTAGGGGTTAGGGTTAGGGTTAGGGTTAGGGGTTAGGGTTAGGGTTAGGGTTAGGGGTTAGGGTTAGGGTTAGGGTTAGGGTTAGGGTTAGGGTGTTCCAAGTTGCACAGCTTTAGGGCTGGCAGGACTCATATGGGGGGGTGAGGAGGCTTGTGCCAGGGGCTGACTGATACAGCAGGGGAGGTACGCATAGATGGGTACCCCCCTTCCTCTCCCTTCACTGCCACACTTGGAGGCCTCCTGGGATGCCTCTCATTAAGTCTGTCAGCTTTGGGAGGGCTGGATGCTGTTCCCCTCACCCCATTGGACATTCTCATGAACCAGTCCCTCCCAGGAGGCTGAAAGCCCCAGAAGATACGTAAGTTGGTGCCAGCCAGGAGATGCTCACACTTGGGTGTGGTTTGAGCTGGGAGCTTGGTCTTCAGTGTCGTGTGGTGGAGAGTTGAGAATTGAGGAAGTGTTGCTTAGGAGAGGTCCTTGGGTCACTGGGACAGTGCCCTGGGAAGAGACCGTGCTGTCCAGTCCCTGGGCCATTCTCGGTGCAGTGTTTTTTTCCCCTCTTGTACATCTACCATGAAGTCCTCCCAGCCACAGGACAGACAGTCACACATGCTTGGGGGGAGCTTCAGCCTCCCAAACGGTGCAGTCAGAATAAATTTCTTGCTTTTGTTTCTGTTTTCTTTTGGTTTTTGGGTTTGAGACAGGGTCTCACTGTGTAACTCTGGCTGGTTTAGAACTCTCTATGTAGACCAGGCTGGCCTCAAACTCATAGAGATCTGCCTGCCTCTGCTTCTTGAGTGCTGTGATTCAAAGTGTATACTACCATGCCCGGCTAACTTCTTGCCTTTGTAAAGTTAGACTACCACCTAGCTGTAGACAGAGATTTCTGTCCTACCCAGTCCCACAGCTGTTTAGTCCCAAATAAACACACAGAGGCTTATATTGCTCAGGCTCTTACATTACTAACCTTGTTATATTACTAACAAGCTCTTACAACTTAAATTAACCCACAATTCTTATCTATGTTTACCACATGGCTTGGTACCTTTTCTCACTAAGGCATTCTCATCTTGATTCCTCGGTGGTTTTGAGACAGCGTCTTAGTCTAGAGTCCAGGCTGGCTTAGAAATCACTATGGTAATCCCCCTGCCTCAGTTTATCAAGAACTTGAATTACAGGCATGAGGCACCAGCTAAGAAGGATTTTTTTTTCTTTTTGAGGAGGTCTCACTATGTGGTCCTGGTTGCCTTGGAACCTGCCGTGTAGGCCAGAATCACCTCCATCTTGCTGAGATCTCCCTGCCTCTGCTTCTCAAATGCTGGACTAAAGGGGTGCACCACCGTGTCCAGCAGCAGGATTCTAAAGATCCAGAAATCATTTTGTCTCTTGGATCCCCCAAGAAGGATCTTTGATCCTTCTGAGACTGACCTGGTTACTCTGGGAAGTGAACAGCGGGCTCCTTCATCCTGTCCTTGGCTTACAATGATGGGGCGGGGCTGGATGGCATCCGTGACCGCTTAGCTCTCCTTGGAGCTTCAGGCTCAGCGCCCCCCCCCCCCAGTCCACCAGACTGCAGCATTCCTCAGAAGCTTAGCAAGAGTCACCCAGCAGCCAAACCTTTCCAACATGGCACCTGTTCTGGGGGTCCCGGGGTCCTTCCCCAAACCCGCCGTCCAGACTCCAGCTGTCTGACCATGCAGGAGTCGTTTTTTTCTGAATGCCAGTGGCAAGTCTAAGAGTTTCTCAGCTCTGTTACAGACAGAAGTGCGGGATGGACAGTCCCGCTGGCTAACAGTCCGGGTCCATTTGGTGGCCTCTCATTTCGGAAAGGGGCAGGGGCTGGGGCAGCAAATCCATCCATTTCTTCCAGAACAGTCACCTCTGTACCTGTAACAAGCAGACGCCAAAGCAAAGAGCCCCGGTAGGGTTTGGGGCTGCCAGGCTTGGAGGCTCAGTTCAAGCGCCTGGGCCAGATCCGGCATGGAGCAAGTGGAAGCCACTGGCAGGGAGGCGGAGGGACAGTGTATGTGTGTGCACACTCTGTGCCCATGAGACAGTGCCAAGGAGCCCGTCTGTCCCCTGTTTGATTTCTGTGCTTCTCAATTCAGGCCAAGGTGGGGGGCCATCTGCTCAAGTGGGCACAAAGAAAACATTTTCACTGTGCAGAAAATTGGCTTCAGAAGGGAGCCTGCTCTCAGCACAGAACCAGCAGAGAACAGAGCTGGTGGGTGGAGCCTGGGCTCTGCCTGGGGGTGTTGCCCAGTGAGCCGGGGCAGGGTGGGGCAGGGCAGGGGGGCAGAAGAGGTGGGTGCCAGAAAAGTCCTATCCAGGCAATCTCCAGCATCAAGCCCCTTCTTAAGGGACTTTGCACAGAAGGTACACATATGGGTGTGTGTGTGTGTGTGTGTGTGTGTCTGTGTGTTCTCCTTTGCCTTTGTTGCTGTGATAAAACACCCTGATCTGGTGAGGAAGTGGTTTAATACAGCTCACAAGGTCGAGTCCATCCCTGAAGGAAGTCAGGCAGGAGCTGGCGCAGAGGAGGAGCGCTGCTTACAGGCGACAAGCTCGTGGCTTAGAAAGCTCAGGGCTTGCTCAGGCTGCTTTCTTAGGCAACCCAGGACACCTACCCAGGTGTGGCACAATTCACGGTGGGCTGGGCCCTCCCACATCGGTGATTAATCAAGAAAATGCCTACGGGCCGGTCTGATGGGAGCGCTTCCAAATGAGGGTTCCTCTTTGCAGAACGACTTTGGCTGTGACAAGTTGACAAAAACTGCTCTCTACTCTCTCTTCACTTAATGAGGCCCTAATTTGCAAACCATGATGCTCACCTGTGTAGTAAAGTTCCCTGGCAGCTTCTTTAATAGTACATGTGTGTGTGGTGTGTATTGTGTGTATATGGTGTGTGTGTGTGGTGTGTGTGATGTGTATGTGGTGTGTGTATATGTGTGTGGTGTGTGTGTGGTGTGTGTATGTGTGTGTGGTGTGTATTGTGTGTGTGTTGTGTGTATGTGGTGTGTGTGTGTGGTGTGTGTGATGTGTATGTGGTGTGTGTATGTGTGTGTGGTGTGTGTGGTGTGTGTATGTGTGTGTGGTGTGTGTGGTGTGTGTGGTATGTGGTGTGTTTGTGTGTGTGTGTGGTGTGTGTGGTGTGTGTGTGGTGTGTGTGGTGTGTGTGTGGTGTGTGTGTGGTGTGTGTGTGTGGTGTGTGTGTGGTATGTGGTGTGTGTGTGGTGTGTGTGGTGTGTGTGTGTGGTGTGTGTTTGTGTGTGTGGTGTGTGTTTGTGTGTGTGGTGTGTGTATGTGGTGTGTGTGGTGTGTGTTTGTGTGTGTGGTATGTGGTGTGTATGTGTATGTGGTGTGTGTGGTGTGTGTATGTGGTGTGTATGTGTGTGTGGTGTGTGTGTGGTGTGTGTATGTGGTGTGTGTTTGTGTGTGTGGTATGTGGTGTGTTTGTGTGTGTGTGTGGTGTGTGTATGTGTGTGTGGTGTGTGTGTGGTGTGTGCTTGTGTGTGGTGTGTGTGGTGTATGTGATGTGTATGTGTGTGTGTGTGTGTGTGTGTGTGGTGTGTGATGCTGGGGAGGGAACCCAAGGCCTCAGCTACTCCAGCCGAGTGCTCTACCACTGAGCTACATCTCCAGCTGTTTCCATGCATCTGCCTGCTGCAGACTCCTCACAAAGTAGAGGCGCGGGCGCTCGTCTCTGGTGACTGACTCCCTCACTGCTGGTCTCATAGACCCCTGCTATTGCAGGGTTGCCTTCCTTTGTGAGGTCAAACTGTGTTTTTCATATTTTGCTTTTCTGTCCCATATCTGTCGATGGACCCTTTGGCTACTGAAAATGGCGTGGATGAGTATGGGTGTGGGCGCTGGAGAGACGGCTCTGTAATTAACAACATTGGGTGCTCTTCCAGAGGAACTGGGTTTGGCTTCCGTAACCCACACTGTCTGTAGCTCCAGTTCCAGGGGATCTGACGCCTTCTTCTGGTTTCCACTGTCTCCTGCATGTGCAATGGCATAAAAATTCACACACATACACATGATAAATAAGTAAAGAAATCTTTTAAAAATCGATCATTGGCAAACAGGGGCCTTCTGAATCTTTGCTGCTGATTCCCAGAAGTAGGATTGCTGGATCATGTGACAATTCTATGTTTAGCTCTTGAGGGACCGCCAAGCCCAGGGTTACAGGTACATATGGCCGTATCCAGCTCTCCTGTGGGTCCTGCGGGTTTGAATTTCGTCCTCATTACTTACACAGCAAGCACTCTTACCCACTCTACCCAGCCCCTACCCTTGAAAGAAAATAAAAAACGTTTTATGTATTTATTTGTTTTGTGTGCATACTGAGAGTACATGCTCAGGGAGTTTGTGGAGGTTGTGTCTCTTAGGTGGTGTGTTACTGTGTCACAGTCACAGGGCAGAGGGGACCCTGGCTCATCCACACCCTTGCCAACACCTGTGATTCAGGTTTGTGAAATTGTAAGTGTCCTAGTGGGTGAGAAGCAGCTCCTCCTGTGGTTCTGTTAACGTTTCCCTAATGACCAGTGACAGCCAGACTCTCTGTGTGCTTTTCGGCCATTTGTATATTTTCTTGGTGTACAAAGGAAGATGAAGTCAAATGTGATCATGGTGAGCCCCGCGCGCCTGGCATCCCTAAGAGAAATAGGTGTTCAAGGCACTTGTCCTTTTTAAAAAAAGATTTCTATTTGTCACACACACACACACACACAGATGCAGAGAGGGAGAGAGAGACAGAGAGAGATGCAGAGAGAGAGAGAGAGACAGAGAGAGATGCAGAGAGAGAGGAGAGAGACAGAGAGAGATGCAGAGAGAGAGGAGAGAGACAGAGAGACAGAGAGAGAGAGAGAGAGAGAGAGAGAGAGAGAGAGCAGGAGCTGGAGTTACAGTAGTTGTGAACTACTTGATGTAGTGCTGGGATCTGAACTCAGTTCCTCTGGAAGAGCAGCCAGGGCTGTCTCTCTGGCCAGTATCTATTTGTCTAGTTTCGTGATAGTCTCCATCAGTACCTCTCTTTGCAACCATTAGCATGCTCCACGGTCCCATGGGTCACCTTTTGCTCCCTTGCTTGTGTCCCGAGGCACTAAGAGTTCTGTGTTTTGATGATGCTCTGTCTGCATTTCTCGCATTGCCCGTGCTTTTGGTGCCATGTCCAAGAAATCCGTTGCCCGAGTAAATCCCGTGGGCCCCTGCCCCCGCTCTCGGTGTATGCCGAAGCCTCTCCCGGTGCAGCTGGGGTTGGCCAGCAGGAGCAGCCCACCCACACTGCGAACTCCGTGGGCTGAGGCCCTGGCTGTTTGTTCTCATAGCAGTTCGTTCTGGCTCGAAGATTCTTGGCTCCTGGGTTTGCTCTTCAGAACTGGTTCTCTAAGAATTCCAGAATGTCATCACAGATGCAGAAAGCAAGGGGAAAAACACACACACAGAAATGCTCCTTGAAGAGGAACCGACTCCCTTGGCACATGGTGGGAGTAGCGTAGCCTCCCAAGCCAGCCTGACTGCTGAGGAAAGCCCCTGATAGCTTTGCTGGTTCGTTTGCCTCCAGGGGTCCAGACTGGGAGGAAAGGTGACAGGGACAGAGTGTAGGCACGCTTAAAACATGGAAGGAACCGTAGTTTGCAAGATGCCCCTGGGAGAGACTAGGCACGGTGGAAATTGAGAGGAAACATACTGTACAAGGTCAAGAAGGAAAGAGAGACATAACCAGAGTCAGGGCTGCCATCCGTACGCCATTTTCACCTGGGAAATGACATCACTCTACACCAGGGCACACCTGATGCCCAGAAAACCATGTGACAGTGTAGACGGTAGGGGGGGTGGGGGGTGGGGGGTGACCAGCTCGTGGCAGCTCCTCCTCACGGGACATGGGACTCCCACTATGTGTTGACAGAGACTACTGTACTGGGTTAAACAGTGTCTGCCCCAGATTGGTGTCCACAAAGAGCCCATGAATCGGGAGTTAATAGAAACAGGATCAAGTGAAGATAAGGAGGAATGGGATCGGAGTGAATCCTAAATTCAACGTGGCTGACGCTTCTGTAAGAGAAGAGAGCAAGCCACGCATGGAGGCTTACGGCTGTGGCCTCAGCACTTGGGACGAACCCCGCCGGATACTGACAGTGTGAACCATCGCCCATCACTGGCTGCCAGCAGCCAATGGGCTTCCAGAACTGTGAGGCTAAACCCCACGGCGAAGCCACCCACCGGTCGTGGCAGTCCAGGTTAGTCAGGGGCTGAGGTCCTACTACCTTGATAATAGAGGAAGCTTCTCGGGCTGGAGCACCAGGAGCACTGTTGGCAGATGCAGAGTGGCCGGCAGGTCCTGCTCCAGCAGCTGGAGGAGTCGACTGGTGGGGGACAAGGCAGAACTGAGCTCTCCGGATTTTCTTCCCTCACAGCTTTGCAGCCAGCCTGCTGGCTCCCCGGGCGTCTGGCAGCGGAAGGGGAGGCCGCAAGGCCGGCCTGTGTCACCTGCAGCCACATAGACGTACGCACCCCACAGCAGAAAGAGTGGGATTGTTGACAGAGGACGTCTGTGTGGCTTGGGGAGAAACAAAAGGCGCTGATGTGTCACCTGGACACCGTTGTGGGAAGACGGGGGCAGGGCGTGGAGTGGGAGCAGAGGAGAGTGCGAGCCCGGGAACACAGGACTCCACTGAGTGCGGAGGCAGAAGGAAGGGTCAGCACTCACATACATGTACGTACCTACAGTCACACACACTCACTCACACACACACACACACACTCACACACTCACACACTCACACACGCTTACACATAATTAAAAAAAATAAATCTTACGAAAAACAGGAGTTCCGAACCAGAAGCTCCTTCCAAGATTTCCCTACAGGGTGAGACCCGGCTGGTCGCCCTAGGGCAACCTGTGTTCCTGAGAGGCGGTGCTGGCGTGAACAGACCGGTCACTGCCTTTGTTGTCTGACCTGGCAAGGGCCTCCAGGCAAGGGGAGAAGATAGGAGCCATCTACATGGTCCCTGAGTATCTTAGTTTGCTTTTCTGTTTCTGTGATAAACTCTATGACCAAGATACAGTCTACCATTGAGGGAAGTTAGGACAGGATCTGAAGCAGGAAAGAAACCGAAGCAGAGGCCATGGAGAAATTCTGCTCACTGTCTGGATCCCTCTGGTTTGCTCAGCTACTTTCCTTCCTTCCTCCCTCCCTCCTTTCCTTCCTTCCTTCCTTCCTTTCCTTCTTTCTTGACAGGGTTTCTCTGTAGCTTTGGAGCCTGTCCTGCAGCTCGCTCTATAGACCAGGCTGACCTCAAACTCACAGAGATCCGCCTGCCTCTGCCTCCTGAGTGCTGGGATTAAAGGTGTGCACCCCCCACCCCCACCCCTCAACTACCTTTCTTATGTAATTCAGGCCCACCTGCCCAGGGAGGGCACAGCCCATAGTAAGCTGGGGCCTCCGGTATCAATCAACAGTCAGGACAAGTCCTCACAGACATGGCTGCAGGCCAAACCGACATGGACATTCCCTCAACTGCGGGGGGGGGGGCCCTTTCCCGAGGCCCCCTGACAACAAAAACTAACTCGCACTCTGCATCAGGGCTCCAGGCACATCGGGCCAGCTATCATGAAGTCACAACCAGACAGGTGCGGGGCAGCACGAGGAAGGGGCAGCCAGGGGCAGAACACGCGGACCCCACGGAAGCCAGGCCACTGTTGGTCGGCCTGGTGGAAATGATGCCACTAGATGCTGGCATCAAGCAAGCCCACTGTGACTGAGCTAGGCGGGGATAAGATCTGCACACGGTTACGTGAGCGCCTCTAAACTATTCACGCCCCCCCCGCCGCTCTGTCAGCTTCAGCTCCCATTCACTCCCGATTCTCCTTGGGAAGTCTTGATGGCATCAGGCAGCATCGTGTGGCCTCCTGGAAATCTCCCAGGTCCAGTCCGCACAGGTCCTTCCCTAACTTCCTCCAGCTGAGACACAAGGTTCCCGCAGTGAGGCCCGCAAGCAGTGACTCCCCAGACGGTGGCTGGACGGGATGGGACACTGTGGAAAGGACCATTGGTTTTCCCGAATGGTTTGGGAGAGCACTGGGTTGGCTGTACGCAGAGAAGCGGGAGGTGATTTGGGAAGGAAGCATTCTGGGGGAACAAGCGCAGGCTCTGTCTGGGGGTGGAGGCATCTGGAAGTAGGTTTCCTGAGGCTGCGGGGTGGGGGTGGGGGCGGGGGCGCTCTCTGTCCTGCGGGGCACACGGGTGAGGGGACTGGAACATGTAAGCACCTCTGAGTGCCTGAAGCTGGACCTACTCTTCTCTAGACCCGAGAGTGGAATACGGGAGGCTGGACAGGGCCGACTCCGGTCACCCAAGGGATCCCCAGGGCCCCAGCGGAGGAGCAGTACGGAGGATCACTGCTGTCTCCTGATGCCCGCTTAGCAGAGAGTCAACCATTGCTCAAGTCTGTAAGACGGAGAGTCCAAGGGAGAGCAAGACCACCCCAGACCTGAAAGCGCCTGAGAGCTCCTCTTGGGGGAGGGGGTGACACAAAGGCTAAGCTCATTCCCACCAGCCTGGAGAAGCTGTGTCCTGCAGGTAGGGCCAGAGGCCGGGCATGGAGATGACTGACAGCGGTGAAGAGGGACCGAGACCCCCCCAGGCCAGGGTCAGTGAAGTGACTTAGCAGGTAAAGGCGGCTGCCACCGAGCCCGACAGCCCCAACTTTGATCTCCAGACACCGCGTGTGGAAGGAGACTCCCACAAGTGGTGCCCTGATCTCCACACGTGTGCCGTGGCGTGAACACACTCATAAAGATTAATTAAAAGATAAAAAATAGAGCCCCAGGGCTGGAGAGAGGGGCTCAGCAGTTAAGAGCCCTCGATGCAGCCGGGCGGTGGTGGCGCACGCCTTTAATCCCAGCACTCGGGAGGCAGAGGCAGGCGGATCTCTGTGAGTTCGAGGCCAGGCTGGACCGACAGGCTCCAAAACAATACAGAGAAACCCTGTCTCGTAAAACCAAAAAAAAAAAAAAAAAGAGCAAGAGCACTCGATGATCTTCCAGAGGACCTAAGTTTGGGATCCAGCACCCACAATCCCTGCTCACAACCTGTAGCTCCAACTCCACGGGACGTGACACGTATATGCACATGCCTATGCATGAGCATGCACATACCCCTCCACATAATCAAAAATGATGAATCTTACAAACAGTAAGATTCCCAGGAGCTTCTTCCAGGATATCCACATAGGGCAACCGGTGTCCCTGAAAGCACAGACCCCCTCGCTGCCTTTGCTGTCTTATTGCCTTACCTGGCTATGAACGCTCCTGGTGAGTCACCCATGCCCACCTGGAACTTGCTGGCCCGGTCGTCTGTCCCCACCTGAACCACGGGAAGCTTCCTCAGTCCCACTGCAGTCCTCACAAGGGAGCAGGGGACACCCAGGGGCCACAAGAGCGCCAGCCACACGTGTGAGCACTGGTCCAGCATGGGAGCAACTGGGAGGGAACTCCGTTATCTCACGCGTCAGCTTGTTCCAAGCACACACGTGATCCGCAGGACGGGAAGCACCCGCACATGCGACACGGATGGTAACAGCCCATAAGGGGGTGGAAGGAAGGATCCCAGGTGCACACGTGCTCTAGCTTGTTTTCTGTCGCCGTGAGAAAACACTGACGGAAGTCAGCTTGGGGACGGAAAGGTTTACTGGCTTGCACTTCCACGCCAGTCTGTCTTAGTTAGGGTTCCCACTGCTTGAAAGAGACACCATGACCACAGCAGATTTTTGTTTTGTGTTTTGGAGACAGGGTTTCTCTGTGTAACAGCCCTAGCTGTCCTGGAACTTGATCTGTAGTCCAAGCTGGCCTCGAACTCAGAGAGATCCACCTGCCTCTGCCTCCCCAGTGCTGGGATTAAAGGCGTGCGCCACCCCTGCACACCAGTTTGATTTTTAAAAAATATTTATTTATTTATTATGTATGCAGTGTTCTGTCTGCATGTATCCCTGCAGGCCAGAAGAGGGCACCAGATCTCATTACAGATGGTTGTGAGCCACCATGTGGTTGCTGGGGATTGAACTCAGGACCTCTGGAAGAGCAGCCAGTGCTCTTAACCTCTGAGCCATCTCTCCATCTCCAGTTTGATTTTTTTTTAAGATTTATTTATTTATTACATATACAGTGTTCTGCCTATAAGCTGGAAGAAGGCACCAGATTGAATTGTAGATGGTTGTGAGCCACCATGTGGTTGCTGGGAATTGAACTCAGGATCCCTGAAAGAGCAGTCAGTGCTCTTAACCTCTGAGCCATCTCTCCAGCCCCTCCAGTTTGATTTCTTAAATCACCTAGAACCACCTTCCCAGGAATGGCACCTCCTATAACGAGCTGGGCCCTTCCACATTGATCAATAATCAAGAAAACAGTCCCCACAGCCTTGCTTACAGGCAATCTGGAGGAGGCAATCTCTCAATCAGGTTTCCTCTTCCCAGATGACTCTATAGCTTGCCTGAAGTTGATTTAAACACACACGCGCGCGCGCACACACACACACACACACCCCACACCACACTACGATTCAATATGGCATAGGTCAAGGACTCTTATATTTTCAAGCGTTTCTTCAAGTTTTCCACACCGAACATGTGTGTTAGGCAACTTAAATCTTATCGTAAACCAAATTCCCCAGCCAACTGTGCAGTAACACTCCCTCCTGCACATGTTCACTGTCACTGTCCCCAGGTCGACACTGGCAGCTGCACCAGGCTTCCCGGTCCACGGGGCAAGCTCACGTCACCTCCCTCGGCCCTAGGACGTCGGCCGGGGCTGGAAGGGAGCAGGCGCGGGCTCGGAGTGCGGGGTCTCGGTTAGGGGGAGTCCCGGGAGGCGGTCGTGGCTCCCGCCGCGGCCCAGGCTGCTCGAGGCGCAGCAGCCGACGCTCAGCTGGGATTCGAACACAGGAAGCCGCTGCCTCGCAGAGCCGGTTGTCACGGCAACGAGCTGGCCGAGCGCCGGTTGGCGGAGCCGCAGGGCTTCGCGGAGCCTCGTGATAGGTCGACCTAGCACGCTAACGGCCTGCGCTGAGTGATGGAGCCGGGGACGGGGGCGGGACTTCCTGTCTGGGCGAGCCCGTCTGGGGCTGTGCTACGCAGGCGCATCTCGCAAGAGGCTCGGCGGGGGTCTGAGCTCCGCGTGGGGCGTCGGTCGTCAGCCACCGCGAACCCGAGCCCGCGGGGTTCCCTCCAGCCCTGGCCGGCGACGCCTCTTCGCTCAACTGTCCGCCTCGCACCTCCGCCATCTCCCCGCTCCCGCCTCCCTGCCTCCACCATGGTCCTCTTCAGCCTCTGCAGTTGATGGCAGCCTCCAAGACAGTGGGGCCCCTCAGTGACAGTTGGGCCCTTAGCATCTGCCTCTCCCTGCTCCACCCTGCCTCAGAGCCTTAAGGCTCGGCTACTCGGCCTGATTATCCCTCCTCCTTAGAGTAGGGACCATTTATTTAGAACTGTCCCCCTTTCTGCCCCCATTTCCCCTGCCACGTTTTCTGTTCCTCACCATCCAAGGCGGAGTTGATCATCTTGACTCAACCGCACATACTCAGTAAACATAGACAGACTTCCTCTTCCCTGGAGAGAGGTGAGGAGGAGGCTGATGGAGGCAGGAGCGGATGAGTGAATGATAGGACTCTCTTGCCCTTGTAGCAGGAGAGCTGTCCCTTGACGACGATCTCTGGAAAGGAGAGCCAGTACCTTGAAGGGCGTTCCTCTAGGAGGACCCAGGCACCTCAAGGAGTCCTCCCCTTCCACCCTGGGTTAGCATACCTCTGCCTACAGATGTCGGTTCTTCCAGGCAGCCCCTCTCAGGAGCACACGCTAAGTCAGGTGCCGTACTGGCTAAGTCAGGTGCCGTACTGGCTGGAGGAGGCATGGCGTCACCTGGTTGGCCGGATGCGTGCCGAGCACAGGACGGGGGAGGTGGGAACCATTGCTGGTGTCTCTGGAAGCTGAGCAGCGGGTTCCCTGGAGCCGTTTCTGTGGGTAGTAGCTGCCACGACAAGCACTCCGTGAGCAGGTGGCCTAGGCTGACCGTCACATCTCTGTCGTAGTGGTTAACTGTTTCGTTGCTGTGCAGAGACAATGACTAGGGTGACTTGGGAAAGAAACCATTTATACAGTTTCAGAGGGCGAGCCCGGGCCCATCCTGTCAGGGAAGCAAGGCCGCAGGCGGATATCATGGTGCAGGCGCAGTAGCTGAGAAGTCTGACCCATGAACGTGGGCAAAGAGAACAAGACTGGGCCTGGCGTGCCCCAGTGGCACACCTCCACCAATAAGGCTACCTTCCTAATCCTTTCTAAACAGTTTACCAACTGGGAACCCAAGGGTTGAGACATACGAGCTTAAGAGGGTCTCGTTCTCACCCAAACCACGAAGTCTCTTGCCCCACGTGGCACTCAGTGGCCTCTGGCTTGTGTGCCTGTTTACAAAGGCGGACACGTGTTGCTGGCCCAAGCTGCACCTCCTGTGTAAGCGTGAGATCTGGCTTCAGGGCTGCTTGCTGTGTCGGGAAGATCACACGTCCGGGCAGGAATCCAGACGAGCTTCTGGGACTGCCCATAAACCGTGTCCAAACATCCGGACCAACGGCTTCCCTGCAGGGCTAGGCACCGCTCGAGAGAGGAGCTCCTGGTAGGCATGTGGCTTAGGCAGCCAGGACAGCCATATGCTCACTGGCCTTGCGGGCACAGCGTAGGCCACTCTGGCAGCAGATGCTCCCAAAGGCGTTTCTGTCAGGATCGTGCTCGCATCGCTCATGTCCACCTGCTCCCGCCCCCCCCCCCCCAGACCTAGAATGTGAGGTCTTGGGCTGTGTCATAGGGTCTGGCCAAGCCCTGTGTTCTGGCATGGAGTCCAGTGGCCAGGAATGGACGGCTGGAACGCTTCAGCCCCCACAGCCAGGTCGTCTGTATGGCAGCGTGGAGCGTGGCGTTGAAGAGAGCCAGCCCTTGGGAAAGGCCACTCTCTGCAGTGCGCCCACCAAGTGGCGGAACATCCCTGGCACGCCCCAGATGGCACCTTCTCTTGCCACCCGCCTCCCAAGGGCCATTCCAACACCGTTGCCCTGCCAGGGTTTCCTGCCCTCCAGGCTGTGCCTTAAGCCAAAGGAGGGAGGCGCTGGCATGGGTCTCTAAGGGTGTGGGCTCCACGCCTGGGGATGGGGGAGGAAGGGGCAGCCCATTGCCTACTCCAAGGCTGGCAATGACATTGCCCTGCCAAGTGCAGAGCTACAGAGCTGGCAGAGGATTAAGCCTGAGGTGATTTCACAGAGGAAGAGATAGGCAGTGGGGGGGGGTGGGGAGGCCACTGCACTGACAAGGAAGCCCCAAGAAGCCAGAGAGGAGAGGGCAGCCCAGGACCCAGAGTGATCTCTGTCTGAAAGCAAGACATGCAGGGGCCCCAAAGCAGCCGGTGAAGTTAAGGCTGAGGACTTGGTTCTGAGGAGACCTCAGGCGGGCCTGTGTCACCATGGAAACAACCTAGTCTGGTTCCCCCCCCCCACACCTCCTCAACCTCCTGTGGTCAGGATATGTCTTTCCCCGGAGTCACCTGTCATTGCATTGCGAGGAAATGGCTTAGGATCCAAGAGAGCTTCCTCTTGGCCAGTCTCACGAGATGGGATCTGATTGCATCTTGGAGGGAAGCTCACTAAAGCACAGGATGCTCACGGATGAGGCAACAGGATACTCTAAGAGGAGTTAAAAGCACTCTGTCCCCACAGGAAGTCCATGAAGCAGGATAGACTCACTAGGCTCGGGAGAGCAGCCCAGCTGCCTGGGAGAAGCAGTGAGGTAAGCCCTCACCCGTATTCCTGTAAGCAACCCCCAATAAAATTCACTGGTTCACCACGTTGGACTCTGGTGTGTCCCTACTTTGGTCTGCTGCTGTTGGTTTCCTACCTGGGACGAACAGATGTTTGCTCATGTGTGCCATATCCCTGTACCATCTACAGCCCCAAGGGTGTCAGTTCATTCACTCAGGCTATTTAACAAGGAACCCCAAAGTTAAGACTAGGCATTTTTTTTTTTTTGAGACATGGTTTCTCTGTATATCAGCCCTGGCCGTCTCGAATTCGCCCTGTAGACCTGGCTGGCCTCAGACTCACAGAGTTCCACCTGCCTCTGCCTTCAGAGAGCTGGGATTAAAGGTGTCCACCACCACCAGCAGGTGAGCAGGACTTCTTATCTCAATCCCCCTGGGGTTGGGGCTGCCTGGACCTTTAGAGGTGCCTCCCTTATTCCCAAAGCTGTCTTCTTCATGTTTGCAAACTGCTGCTGTCCTCCCCCCCCCCATCATCCTCACAGTGCTGGGTCCCTCACTTCCTGGCCATTCACGTCCCGAAGACAGCCTTTAGTGTCTATTCACAGCTCTGGGTCAAGGGTCAAGGGTCAAGGATCAAGGGTGTGGCTTCTTCCAGCCTCTTCCCTCCCGAAATTCCCTTGGTCACCCATGGTGACCACCCTGATACACCTTTGGTTGGAGCATTATCCTGACCGCCATCCTCAGCCATTCTCTACAGAAGTACATGCAGGAAAAGGGCAGGGTCCGGGGGAGGGGCCAGCCTGCGTCAGGTGGCAGAACCCCACTCTCGCTGAAGACCGGGGAAGGGTCTCAGTAGGTGAGAAGGCACCCTGGGCTTTGGGCACCGCACCCTGAAGCCAGGTCACACGGGTGGTGTGGGGAAGGCTGCCCCCCGGGGCCACACCTGTCCATCCAGAGGGCCCTGGAAGCCTCGCCGAGCAGTCGGCATGCGAGCATTGACAGTGCGCACAGCTTGCAGCCCAGGCCCGACAGCCAGCAGAGGAGCCAGGAAGTAGCTTTTCAGCAAGGGCCTCAGAGTGTTCTTGGAAGCTGGCTGAGTATAAATTATAAATAAACAAACGAGAACTCTGCAGCAGGGTGTGGGCTTGGTGGGAAGAGGGAGAGACAGGAGGCAGGGAGCCACCTAGGAGCTAAGGCCACTCCCTGGTCTGGCGCCCATGGGGCCTCTCTTCCCATCTCTGGGCTTGAGCCTCTGCCTACAGAAGGCAGCCCTGGGGGTCCAGGGTTCCCAAGGTCAGATACTGGTGTAACGGGGACAGTCCCATGCAGACCCCCCCCCCAATCACGGGCCTTCACACAGCCTGAGGCACAGTCTCCCTTGGACCAAAACAGGCCCCTGTGGACACTCATCCGTGTGGGAGGTGTCTTACCAAATGTTTGAAGGGGGAAAAAAATCCCAGTTTCTTAGTTTTTTTTTTTCTCTTTCTAATTTTGGATTATTTTTCTAGATGACTTCATTTCTAAGAAGGGGGTAGTAAAGAGAAGGAGGATGGACAGGAGGAGGGAGGCCTGGACCCTGAGCGGGCTCTGGGGGCTAAGGCAGTGTGGGAACAGAGTAAACACCTGGGCCAGGGACTATGGAGGGAGAGGCCCCGTGCTCCCTGGTTAGTCATGGAGTGCCCTGACCTGCAGTGTTCCCAGTCCAGGCTGACTCTGAGACCTGGTGCTCAGCTGTGTTCCCATGGCGCCTCCCATCTGGCCAGGTTGGGAGGGGCAAGGTACTCTGGGCAAGACCACCCTCTCCAATGGACAGAGCTGAGGGCCATGCCCAGGACATCCCTCAGCTTCCACAGTTTCTTAAGAAAACAGGACTCATTTGGGCTGGCTTTCATGGGAAAGGACCTGCAAGGTACTAGGATGGTCATTGACTCAGCCAAAGAAGCACAGAGGTGACTTTGGAAGCCACACAGACAAGAGCCACACCCCAAGCACATACCTTCTTCCACTGGGCATGGACCCAACATATGCCTACATATGCTGTCCCGAAAGCCACGGTCCTCAGCTCCATCGCTTAGGCAATGGTTGCCTCCCAGAGGCAGGGAACCGAGTAGTGAGGCTGTGTTAGCTGCTGACACCGTAGCTGCAAGGGAGTCAGCAAACGAGTTCTCAGTCCCACCCGAGAGTGGGACCCACAGAGAGGAAGGTGCTTGCCATTCCCTTAACCCACAAAGGATTTTCTCAGCCAAAAATCCTTAGCAAACTTCTGGGTTAGAGGGAGAGCGCTGAGATGGGCTGAGCTGGAATGTTGGAGCAGGCACTGACACCGCTACAAGTCAGGAGGTCCGCAAGAGCTGTATCATGGGGACACATGAAGGGACAAACACCTGGTCTGAGGGTTGGGGACAGCTCTCACCACTGCTGCCTTCCATGTTCAGCCTCCCAGGCCATGTTGGTAAGCCTGGCCTGGGAGAAGGAAGAAGGAGGGCTATGTGTGCCCGAGGAAATAATTCCTTCACTTCTCTGGGAACTATAAATCCAAAATCAAGATGCCAGAGGAATGGGTCCTTCAGAGCCAATCCCAGGCCCTGCTCCAGCTTCTGGGACGCTGGTGGCCCTCAGCATCCTTGGTTCATGCCCCCCCTCTGTGTCTCTTGTGTTTTGTTTCGTTTCTCAAGACAGGGGTTCCTCTGTGTCCTATAACTCAACTCTGTAGACCAGGCTGGCCTTGAACTCACAGATACTCACCTGCCTCTGCCTCCCGGGTGCTGGGATTAAAGGTGTGCACCACCACTGCCCAGCTCTGGGTCTATTTCAAGTCTCTCTTCTCCCCCCCTTTTTATTTTGAGACAGGATCTCACAATGTAGACCCTGAATTCACAGAGATCTACCTGCCTTGGCCTCTGAGTGCTAAGATTAAAGGTGTAAGCCAGAGTGAAAGGTGGAAGCTACCTTGTTAGTAAAAGGGTCTCGCCTTCTCCAGGAGGCATATGTGAAAACTTCTTCCCCGACTCCCTTGCAGCTACAGTCCTAGTAGCTGACCCAGCCCCACCTCTCAGTTCTCCACCTATCAGATCATCACTGAAGCAATGGGGCGGGGTACCCTGACTTTTAGGACCGCGAATGTGGGCTGCTTGGTCCATGCCCAGTGGTGGGTAACATGTATTTGAGGCATGTAAGTTGGTGACATCAGTAGACTCTTGTCTACATAAGGTCCCAGTCGTAGGTTCTGGGGTAGACATATCTTTCTGAGTCCAGCCCCTTGCATGAGACTTGGGCACAGAGCAGGAAAGGAGGAAGGGGGCTAAGATAAGACTGCAGGTGGGAAGAAAGGTTTGGGCTGGGCAGGGCTGGCTGCTTCAGCATGCACTGGGCTGTGAGACTGTTTTTTCTGCCTCAGTTATTTGAACCCCGTGTCGGTTTGTGGTTACCCAGATGGAGGGTATCCACGGTCTCCCATGACGCTCCATGAGGACACCATTCACCAGGGTCCTATTTCTTTCTGTACCTCGGGGTCACCTCGGGGTCTTGGATCCCCTACTCGGGAGGCAGAAGCCCCCGTCCCTGCTGCCAGCAGGCCACTCTCTGAGGTCACAGAATCCTCGATGCCCATTGTGAGCGCCGCCTCCCTTTTGTCCTCCCCAAGTCCCCTCTGGGTTCGGCTGCTTCTTCTCCCCTAAATGCAAGCGCGTCAGCTGTCGACCTTCCGGACGGACGCAGAGTTGAAACCCCGAGTGTGACGTCTGCGCACATCTTGCTGTTTCCGCCTCACCTGCCGCAACTCCCTGCAGAAGAGACGCCAGCCCCGTTTCACGACAAGGGA